AACGACGTGCTACTTATACTGTCTACGACGATGCTTAGTAAAGTCCTGTACAACTGCATAGTAGCTACGCTATCTAAGATCGGTTGCCTTTTAGGGTAATTGAAAAGTTTGAACAATCGGACAGGACCTGAGTGATCAAGACCCCGCCCCATCGTCCATATGATACTTTTGATGTGGGTCAACCCACCGCGTCATACTTTTGGAATACGACGTGCTGGATTGGCCAACAGGTATGTCTTGGCATGTGAGACCAACGTGGGCGCCCCAAGAAGCCGTATGGCCCTAGGCACGCCGGTCGTTGACGTGCCTGCGGACGGAATAGGCGCGAGCTAACACAAAATGGGGGTCAGCTACGACCTAAAACAGTGCAGGAATAAGTGTGATGTGCGAGGAGGTCCACAAGATTCAGTGCCGTGGCAGGCAGTAAGAAATGATGATTTTAGACGTGGGACGAAGTCGAGGGCGGCGTGGGACGGATGCGACGAAGCAGAGGGTCGAAATACCCAAGTAGAAACGAGCTGAAGACGAGAACTGAACTCAAGACTATGAGGAGAATAAATCTATTTTTCTTTTGTCCAACTACAAGCTTTTGTATGTGAGACAATGAAATAATCATCAGAGTGGGTGAAATATCGACAGGATGGAGCAAGGGACGGTGAACAGAGGAACCAGGGAAGTGAGAGGGGAAAAACAGGTACAAGTGGATGGTGAAGTAAGAAAGGCAGGGGTGTAGAGATAAATGTGCAGACAGCAGTCCAGGGATGTGAATATCAAAAATATATGCAGGGCTGGACGAACCAGTGAATAGCCAGGGCTGAGGAATATTGAGGAGACCCTCAGTTGTGTGCAAAGCGTGCGCCCACTGATTGCTGATTGACATGCACTGCCACACGTCAGGACTTGTCGGATAGATAGGCCAGTCCGTCATCGTTTCCCACATGGCTCGGTTCACGGATCTAGCCGTGTCGATTTCTAGCGTGTTTGGGTATGGGCGCGACTCGCCGTGACACTTGGAAGTGTCACCGCGACGCGTCCACAATGTCCCGTGATCGAATGGATCCTGACATGTGACAAGTCGTCGTCGTGGCATGATCTGAGGAAACGTCCAACTCAAAACCAGGAGTTGCCGCGACAAGATGGTTTAAGTCTCGTAACGCCAAGTCCTGTCCAGTTGTAGTTGTATTATTGAGAACGTCGCACATTGCTCAGCCCTTCAGCCCAAGTTCCCATCTGCAGAGAATGACCCTTTTTGAGAAGTCGACGCAACGACAGATCCCTTTGTGGGGAATGGTCGCGGTCCAAGCGTTCGTCACTAATGGCCCTGAGCCTGGTGTAGACTCATAAGACCAGTTCCACAGTAGTGGTCTGACTGCCTTGCTATCGTCGACACTATCCACAGTTGTCGACTGGGCAGTAGACCCATAAGTCCTACTGAGCGCAACACTGTCAACCGCGACACGATACACCGAATGGTTCGAGAGTAAACTCTGTAAAAAGCGCAAAAATATGCCCTTACAGAGCTGGTGCAGAGCGCGTCTGGTAGCCAGCCTATCACCGGATCGTGCCATGAAGCTCGAAGAGTTGCGTCGTACAGTGCTCGTCAAGATAGAGCGTTTCCGGGAGCTTCAGCTGCTTCATATGCCAGCGGTCATCAATATCGTTCGGGAGACAGAGCCTGCAGCGGCTCCTCTGGCCGAGAACGTCAAGCTGTGGATGCCCAACGAGATGCCAGCATCTCTGGGCAAGGATCGAGGGTGTACGCCTGAACTGGTGGGGATGGAGGTTCGTCTGAGGGTCGCACAGTGCAAGAACAGCTTGGCGCAGGTCCACGCTCGTCTGCATGCCAAGCGGCACCTGATCAACTTCCGGAATGCAAACGTCACTGGGCAGGAGCATTCGACAAAGGCCCGAACAATTATAGACGAGATCGGCGAGAAGGTCAATGCGTCGGCTGCGAGGTATCGGACTGGGCAGGCAGCATTGGTGGCATGTGAGGAGATCTCCTCATTCCCACATTTGCGTGAGTTGGCGCAGGAGGACTTGCAGATGGATGGTGTTGCAGTCGCAGTGGATGACGAGGCTGCTACCAGCGACGCGGCAGCTGCCAGGAGGTTGGCCGCATTCGGTGCGGGCCGAGCTCCCCGCCGTGATGCTGGCGCTTCGAAGCGAACCATGTCATGGATCTGGACTGCAAAAGGTGCCCTAGAGCAGGCAGAAGTCGAGTTACACGACTGTGAGTGCTGTTCCATGTCACGTGAAATACATATTGACAGTTAGAACCTGAAGCTATCCGCGTGGAATGGGCTCGTGCTTGTGCTCGGCGTGATCGTTGGTCCGAGGAAGTTTTAATGCTCAAGGAGGAGATGCGCCGTGTGTGCGCGTACTTGCAATGGCAGGCCGAGTGGTGGTTGAAGCGGCAAGCAATGAGGGAGGATTGGGATCAGTATGTTGAGGCGGGAGCTAGAGCGTATGCTCTGAAACAGGCCGCTTGGCATACCGGACTGAGGGACCTTCTCAAAATCAAGTGGGGAGCATGCATTGGCGGCACCTCCTTTGACAAGCCACGTGAGATTTAGATGCGTCAACATTTGTAGATTAGATATGATTAGCCAAGTGTCTCCTGACATTGATTCTGAGTACAGGATAAGATAAAAGATTGTGATTATCATGTGTGACGCTCGTAGGGAGCGCGTCATCAGGCGCAATGGGCCCGACGGATGCTCAATTGATGCGATAGTGTCTGCCGAGCACTGCCGGCTCCGGCGCACTCTCTCCGTGATCATGAACAGAAGTGTCGTCCCAATGGGGAAGGAGATGGCAATAACATCATTGATGCACGCCATGTGTCTGCTGCAGATGTGATGTAAATGTATGGCTCCAGCCATGCCATGGCTACTACCATGCGTTAAGATGGTATTTCCATGGCTAGCACCATAGTCATACAATAAATCTTAGGTCTACGGGTGCACCCAATAGGATTGGGAGGGACAAGCAAATAAGCGCTGGAACTGAAGCGAAAACTTGGCTCCAGTCCGCAGGCCGCAGGGGGGAAGATTGTTGCTGGTCCAGAATGAGGGCTGACCGCGAAATAAACCCTGCAGCGTAGTCAGACAACGGAAAGAGCCCCAAAGATCAAAAATATGCGATAATATCGCTCTGGGTGCGATTAAATCGCAGGATTTGAGCGCCCAATGAGACAGGGAGGGAAACCCGAATAAGCGTGCATCTGAAGCGAAGAGGCATTCGCAGCTTGCAGGGTATGGGGCAGGGGATTTTGTAGCGAATGGGCGGCCAGAAATCGAAGGAATGGACTGGGATTGCTGTCTGGAAGATCAGGGGGGGTCGGCAGCTCGAAGTGGGCGGAAAGGGGAGGGTTCTGAAGGCTGGGGGATGTAGATGGCGTCGTTCTAATGCCAGGATCGAGTCAACGAGCAGTGTATATGTCGAGCTCCAACTGTGAGAAGAGAGGGAACTACTCAGCTTCGTGAATGGAATTGGGGTGTAGGCCCAGAGACACTCTCAAATAGCATCCAAATTTCGAGCTTGAGACAGATTCCATAGTTCACAGAGACGTATGCAGATAGTGTCAAGTTCTGGGTGATAGTCAGTCATATAGAAGCATAAAGAGTGTGTAATAAGAGCGCAAAAATGGGAATTTGTTGAGGATGAGATCGCCGGCAGGTGGGTGGAAGGAGAGAGTGAGCTCACAGCCACCCCCTGCTATTCGGCTCTCTCCCTCACAAGATGATGCATTGATCTCCCTCTCTCACTCAATGCATCCACATTTGCAAACACCAAATTTCAATCATATGTTCTTGAGACAAGGATGCAATATGTCATTGGGGCATGTCTTGGGACCAGTAATCCACTTCTATTATGTGCATACATGTAGTCTGTGTCTCTCAAGAATGAATATTTGCTGGGGTGCCAATCTGGTATGGATGGCTCTAGACTACCTGCACAGCCACAATGTTGATTGTATCAATGCCATGGTCAGCGCCAAGTGTTCTCTTACGTTGCGAAGCACTTGACTATATAATGTGTAACTAGGACAATAAACAAATCACTCACAACCCATGCCCAAGCCCGCATCACCCAAGCCAAGCCCCGTCAGCCGAATTCAAACTCAGACAGCTGTGACAAGCCATCGCAAGCCACTCTCTCAAGCTGGTATGAAAAGTCTGAGACAAAACCAGGGCAAATTGGACGCGAGAGACAATGCAATTCAAGAGATGTGACAGAGAATCTTTCTCCCCGTCAACAGTTTGCGGAGTCAAGTAGGTAAATGGGCATGGAGGGAGGTGCGCGCAATCAGACAGACGGATATGAGGTATGTGGGAGATAGACGGAGAGTAATTGTTGGGATGAAAGTACGGGCTAAATTGTGTAGAGAAATCAAACTTTGTACTGATGGCAGACGACTCAGCTCATCATCATGTGGTCGGCGACAGAGTCGATTTGACAGGAACAAAGAGGCACAGAAACTCAGATGTGGCATTTCTCCCTTGACAGGATGGTAGGTTGAGCTGTTAATTGAAAATGAAGGGACTAGGAGACAAGAGTATATACAGATTGAGTGTGAATGTAAAAGCTGTTGATGGCAGTTTCACACTCTGATGGTAAATCACACCCCGCCGCTGCGAGCGGGAAGCCGCCGCCAATGATCAAAACACCCACGTCATAGTAAGAAAGACCGCCACCCCGCGCTGATGACAGGTGCCGCCGTTACCCGTACAGGGGATCAAGCGCTTCTTCGCACATTTGCGTTGTGTCAGAAAGAACAGCTGCTCCGTTCGTGCTGAAACTTTGGGTAGATAATCTACACATTTAATTCGCCCCACATTTCAAGTATCATATCTTAGAATGATGTCCTTACCCTACAATATCTACAGCCACACATTGAAGTCAACAGAAAATACCGGACTCATGCACGCAGTGGATCTGACTATTGGCAGGTAATCTTACTCCATATCTTCGTGTTTGGGTCTCAAGGCTGAACATTGGACACCAATACACCCAGTCATAATTTAAATATCATTCAAGTCCACATGATGATTTATTTCTAAACGCGCTTTGTCTTCTTGGACACAGACCCGCCGATGTGCATTCTAGGCTCATGTCTTTTAACGAAAATTTAATCCAGCGACCCTCAAGGATAGCAGACTATATCGCGCGTTAATTTAATCCAGATTATCAACATAGTGCGCAGTGCATCAACACGAGGTGGTACACTTTGCCTCACCCACCTCCCGCTTATAATTGTCCGAAATCAGTTTAACATGTAGCCCTGGGAAGCTGAGCATAGTGAAAAGGAGAGATCTTGTTGGTCACACATACTTATATTGCAGAGAGTATAAGTAAGTAGTGTGTACATCCCTGTCCCGACTCAATCTTAGACTGTCATCAACTTGATTGCCGTTGATTGATCGGACGCATCACAAAGATTGCGGCGCATCAAATGGGATTTGGAAGGCACAGCAGTGGGAAAGATGTCCATCAGAGTGTGAATTGCACATCAGAGTGTGATTTTGGTATTCACATTCACACACTTTTTGTCATTCCTCAGGAGACAAGGAGCGTTTGTGGACGATCACTCCAACGTATGCAAGGGGTTATATGACTGAGAAAGACTGAAACCTGGCAAAGATCTACGCATTTCCGGCCTTCAGGCCAATCCACTCCCGCTCCCTCTCGTCGCTCATGCTGGGCTTGCGAGGATCATTCTTGGAGGTGTAGTATGTCAGATTGAGCAGCACGCAGCTAGATGGACTGTTAAGCAACCGCCGCCGTCCGTATCGCAGAGAACACTCACGCTAGCCATTCCGTGAACACTCCCAGAACGTATTCGATTGCAGAGAACCGGGGGGTGAAACCTCCGGCGTCATAGTTGCTCGCTGCATGGGGGTCAGAGTCGCTCGTCGTTCAGTCTGGACAGGATAGTCACGAACGATTGTAATACGACAACTGCCGCAAGATCGAAAGTCAGCGGGAGTTTGAGAACAAAGCGCTCTGTCACTCACGCTCCACACGCAAGCCTGCAGGATTCCGAATATGCCACGAACGATGAGCGGGAACCACGCAAGGAGAAGCAGCACCAGCGTTGGATGGACGGTCCCAGGCCGGCGGCGAGCGTCCCCCTCCCGGCGGTTGTTCCGCATCGTGACCAGGACCACGGCGAGCAACAGCGTGTTGGCTGCGAGGAACACACTCTGGCCGGTGGTGCGCGTGATGCGCGACACGAGCATCCTGTGGCGTGCGTCGGCCGAGTTCAGGTCAGTGTAGTCGACGCCGGCGAGGTATGAGCCACCGACGATGATGGCGACGTTGGCGGCGACGAGCGCGGAGTGGAAGAAGACCATCGGGTGGTCGCCGTAGACGACGAACGCGAGCGGTCCGAGGAGCGTGAAGATGAGGCCCTTGCGCCATTTGTTTGTGTTGGGCGGATCGCGGGGCTCGAGCCAGGATTCGCCACTGGAGAGATTGTGTTGGTGCCAGGACACGACGAAGCGGAACGCGCAGAGCACCTTCGGTGGGGGGCTGTGAATCAGTGCGAATCGCGCAGGTGCAGATCAGGAAGCGAGCCCACCAACGAAAAGTACCCCTCTGCGCCGAGAATGAGGAATGCCAGAAACACACTCGTGTTCGAGAACCCGAGGATGCCAAATGCGATCCCGCATGCCTGCGAGGCGAGGCGGACGGTGACGTGGAAGAAGACAAGCGAGTAGCGAGAGCGCCACTTGATGCGGTGGGTGAGGTATGCAAAGAGCATCCACGCGAAGATCGCCAGGTACTTTGCGGGGGTTTGCAATAGATCAGCACAGGAGGTGGACGGCAACGATGAGGGCACGCACAGCGATGAGGAAAACGAGGGCTGCGCCGGCTTCACCTGTGAAGCGGGCCATTTGTTGTGGAGGATAAGACATTGGTGTGCTTGGAGTGCGACGGCTGCTTAATATGACGGGGGATGGTCAAAAGGGTGTGGCCCTCGACGCTGCGGATTCGATTGAATTCCATCGTTCACAGATCGCGACACCGTGCGGCACGCAATTGCAACTGCGCAGGAAGAAGCCAGCCAGGTGACTGCGCCGCTCGCAAAAAAAAAATGCCAGAATGGACTCAAACTAAAATCGGGTTACGGTGCAAAGAATCGGTCCAGAAATCGGTCCGATCCGCAACTGGACTGAAGTCAGCCCGGGACAAGTCCCATCCGAGCCAGACATGACGTCCGATTCGGAGTTCTCGGGTGATGCTGAGCTGGTCTGAATGGGTGCCAAACCTTGAGCTTGGTCATGATGCCGTGCTTTGCTGTCGCTGACTAAGATTCAAGTTCGGGGATGCCGCTGGTATGACGTGACTGCCGGCATCTCAGCATGCGCAATTTTCGCCACCATGAATTTGGCCCTGGCCATCCTTTCTTTCTACGGCACTTTTCGGGCTGATCGCTTCATGTGAAAAGCTCGGGCCACCCAGGCCGTTTGGTAATTGCGTCCAATGAAGGGATTCACAAGCCGCTGACCTTTTCGCCGGCTCCCTAGCCCCGATTGGGCGTGCCCCTTTCATTCTAATTCTTCCGCCAAACCAAGCCGCAGACCCAATATGGGCCCGTTCTCTTTCCACTTGCTTTTCGTCATCGCGTGGACCAGCACACCACCCACCACACTTATATCAGCCATTCTGATTTTCAACTTCCCATTCCTCATTCACTGCTCTCATGTCCCGCCCAGTCTTCTCTGTTTTCGGTGCCACGGGCACTCAAGGTACACGGTTCACCTCACGCTTGCCTCAGACTCGCTGAATCATCCCACCCTGGAACACAGGCTCCAGCGTCATCAACGCCATTCTCGCCGATGGTTCTTTCCAGGCTCGCGCCATCACCCGCAATCCGGCCTCGAGCGCAACGCAGGCACTGGTCAAACGCGGCGTGGAGGTCGTCCAGGGCGATACGTGTGCCGACGTCCACACGCTGACCCAGGCGCTACGGGGCAGCAAAGCTGTGTTCCTCGTTCGTTCGCTCCTGCCTTTGTCTTTCCCTTCACGGCCCGAGGCTCAAGTGCTGTGATTGCAGGTGACGGTTCTCGTAGCCTTCGGAGCGTCTCTCGACGAGAAGACCCAGGGAATCAACGTCATCGAGGCTGCGAAGAAGGCCGGTGTCGAGTTCCTCGTGTTCAGGTGAGATTGCATGGACTGTATAATGTATCTCCCCAAGACTGATCTTTTCACCCAGCTCCCTCCCAAGCGTCATCGAAGCGTCGAAAGGAAAATACACGGGAGTCGTGCACCACGATCGTGGGTTTTGATCCCCTCGCTGTCCCGTAAACGCCGCTCAAAGATGCACAGACAAGGCTGAGGTCGAAAATTACCTCAAAACCGCCGGACTCGCGCACGCGTCCATTCTTACCAGCACATTTCTGGAAGACCTCTGGATGTGAGCTACAGCTTTACGCGGACATTCCTCTCCAACCTATTCCATCTCTCCAGGTACGGTTGGCTGAAGAAGACGGAGTTGGGCTACGTGCTTTCCGCTTTTTACCCGCCAGCTGCAAAGGAGGCCTTTACCTGGGCCTGTCGCGACGTTGGCGTTGTCTCGCTTGCCTTGGCAAAAGCTTTCGCCAGCGGAAACACCAGTATAGTCGGGAAATCGTACCCGATCGTCAATGCCTGGACTACCCTCCCGCACTTTGGCGAGTTAATCGGAAAAAGTGCGTCTGCTTCATCGCTTGGTATATGGTATTGAATTGTCATAGAACTGGGAGCATCTGTGAGATTCATACAAGCACCGCCGACTGGGGTCGAGTCTATCGACGAGATGGTGTGTGCGCTTTGTGTCCCCGCTGTGATTCCATCTGACCTGTGTTCTAGTACGTTGCGCACGCAGAATACGAGGGCCTGTTGGGGGGGACCCCCATTCCGAATCCAGATTTGGTCGAGCTCGGTGTTCAGCTGGGAACGTTTGAGGAATTCCTGGAGGAGGAAGTGAAGACTCGTTTCGCTGCTTGAAGTCAGGCAATGTGACGTGGAATCATGCATTGTCCTTCTTCCATGACAAGTCTGAGTGTGTTGAGTGTTCATACAAAAGATGGATCGACCAGCTGTAATGGTAGATGACCCAATTCAAGTCTGTGTCTGCTTCCAGACAAGGATTGGCAGCAACTGCGTTCCTTCTTCCAGCGCGTGTGGATGCATCTAGAGATCATTTTCACTAGACTTGAGACTCTTGCCAGGAAACTCTGAACACGTTGCGATGAGCTTCAACAGCAGAAACTCTCGGGCGCCTGCCTTGAGACTGCGAACACGTTGCCTTGGAATGAATATGTAAACGCCCTATAGAGGCTCATCCGGACACAGCTGCAAAACAGTCCCATCTTGGACGACATGGCTCGAGCGGCACAGGAATGAATTCTTACACGCTCTGAGCGCCGGCCACAAATGATTGAGCTTCGTCTGCAGAACCGTGACACTGAGGATCGTTCCAGAACGATTTAGGGAAACAAGATGCAGACCAGCCTCATTCTCGCGCTGCTGCTGTTGCAAGAACAGTGTTAGACTGGCTGCTGATTCGGAGCAGAGGCGTGTTTCCCGACCACTCTTCTTGTGGGTTCCTCGGACTCCGCTCGTAAATGTTCAGTGGCACAGTGAATACCGGTGAAATGCATTACCAGTTCACACAGGATCCTAACCTCCGTTTCGAGCAGCAGCACCCACCGAGAGATCCGGAAACACGGTTTTCAGTTCTAGCCACTCCAGAAATCCCGCGCAAAGCTGGACTAGGGGGGCTCGTGGCATCATCACATTCGGTTCCCCTGTCCAACTTCCCGTCGGCTCGGAAATGAGACTGGCCAGATGCAGGAGAGCGCACGTTCCTTTGGCGGCGTCGAATCAATACACACTGTGTGTCGTCTGAACGCGCGAAGCAAAAACCCTGGCGCATGATGCGGATGCTTGGATCTGGATCACGACAGCGTGGTTCTTTCCAAACGGTGCGCGTGCCAGTCAGATGTTCAGACCCGGCAGCAGCGCCTGGAAGGACGTCGTGAAGTCGGGAGTGGCAGTACAGCCGCGTGTATGACTCAGCACCTGGATGGTTAAGCGAGAGAAAAAAGAACTCACGATCACTCGTGTGATCATACTCAGCAGTGTCCGGTGGAGTGATGGCGACCTGGTTGGCCAACAGCCATCGAAACAGCGGATGAGCATCCGGCACCAACCAGCGCAGCGTGGTGATCGTCTTGACTTCACTGACAATCTTCCTCGCAGCCTCCTCGAGTGCGGGGCCAAGCAATGGGACGAGTGCCGCTGTCACAGCACACGCATCCTCCTCCCCGTCCCACAGCAGCGGATGCATGAAAGCGCGTGTCCCACCGGGATTGTGATGTACCACCCCGACCGCAGCGACGATGTGCGGAGTCTCGTCGACCTGGCTCGTGGTTTCGAGAACAAAGAACGGAGCGGTATCGGAGGCGACGAGGTGTTCCAGCTGGAGCCGTAGTGCAGCGTCGTCTTTGCGGCTGAAGAACAGATCCGCTGTCTCCCGCGAGGTAAGGGCCATCTTGAGCAGATCGGACACGTCGTTTTGCGTGGCCTGGCGCAGTGCGTATCGGCCGGCGTCGGCAGATTTGGGCGGAGAGAGCGCGGACGGATATGTGACCAAGCCACTATCCAGTCTCAATCCATACTCGTACCCCTGTGTCCGGTCTACCATCGTCAATCTGTGCCGCATGATATGCCATCGTGCAGGACTCACAGTAGGCAGGAATGCCCGAAACAAGCATGCACGCGCACCCATCCCGCATGGCTCGCGCATTCACCATGTCGAACAGCATCTGCATCATGTACGCGCCGCCGCTCTTCTCGCCGTGCACCCGGTAGGCGGGCTTGCACGCGACGACGTGGACCTGCCCGAGTTGGAGGGTGGCGAGACCGCCGTCGAAAGCGATTGTGCCCGGTAGGTATTACAGCAGTGCGACAACGCGCTCTGTCGCAGAGCGAGCCAATCGTCGCAGCTAGGCAGGGTATTCCGCGCGCTTTCTGCGTCTGCTGCAGTGCTTGTCGGTACTGTTGGGTCAACGCATACTGCCCAGTTCGTTCTGCTCTCCCCTTGATATATGCACTTGAGGCATATGAAAGCGACCCATGGCGATAAGAGGACAAAGATAGATTGGAGTTCATGCGAACGGGGGGGGAGTTTCGGCCATCCTACTTATCGTTCATGAGCTGCAAGCTGTTCCGCGCGTGGCGTGATCAAGTTTGGCCGATATGACCAGCCCCGGGCAGCTCTGCGGGGCTGCAGGGAGCCTTGAGATGACTAGACTTTGGCGCTGCAGTCTCAGCGATCGTCACTGATCGACCAGCGGGAACGAATCAAAGCCTTCGAGACGAGAGGCAAAGCGAAGAGAAGCGCACAGTACCAAGCAGATTCGGATGTGCAGCGGGCGGTATGTCTCGGGATTGGGCGCTCTGGACGCGTGAATCCGACGTGTGTGGCGAAATACTGGCCCGATTCACTGATCAGGGTCTGAGTCATACCTGTCTGTCTATCTGTCAACCACAATGACATGTAACGTGACACTCGTTGTAACACCTCGCTGTCTGCGTGATGGTGTCAACTCGGTCACAGGCGTGATGTACACTCATGGCATCACGTTTTCACGCGACACTGTTTTGTCACTTGCTTTGAGGGTCATCTCTCCCGAAGCTTGGGTCTTGGCTTCAAGAACTCACGCGCTATGCATTGCCCGCCTGAATCCATTCACTAGCACCCACCGTGGATACATGCTTGAAAGGTTTCAGTCCTCCGAACAAGTGTCGGGATCCTGTGACAACCTCTTGTGCACCTGGTTAGAGTGATTACAATTTACCATTCCATGTTGGGGTCGTCACTTTCCTTGACTAGAGCAGGCGCTGCGAAGGAGAGCAACCAGACTTAGGTGTGTGCGTAAACAGCCGTTCCAACCGCCATTTGCCCACTCTCGCACACTCAGAAAGTAAGCAGATAGTGTTATTAGGCACTTTACGCAGTATTTTCTAAAGAGCAGAAAGTTGCGAGCAAGTGCGACTTGATTATAAGCAGTATCTTATCTTGTCGACCCACTTGAGACAACCCCCAAACCTGTGCAAGTTTTTTTTTACCTGTAAAGCGCACAGAAATCATGGAATTGATCAATTCTTCGGCGAGGGGTAACCGAAATAGTCCTGAGCATCTCAACGTGAGCATTATTGAATAGTTCGGCCCAAGGGGTCGTCAAAGTTGGGCTACATGAATTAGCCGCGGGACCCGCTGGGACCCGCTGGAGTCCCGCTGGAGTCCCGCAGGGCAAAACTTGCACCACCGCGGGACCACCGCATGTCCCGCTGGGACTCCCGCCGCTCGATCTGGGACCACTGCTAGACATCGTTGAATACAATTTTGTTGTTGCACATAAACTACCACCAACTCTTTACCATAGTGAAACAGGCTATATGAAAATTAACTGCGCGACCCGCTGGGTCCACTGGGTGAACAACTTAGATGTAACTACCTTTTGATGTATGCACCATACCGTACTCGTCATCGTTGTTGAGGGCGGCGGTCTGTGAAAAAAAAAGTGAGGTCTGCTGGGCCTCCGCTGGGTTGGCCCAGCGGCGTCCCGCGGTAATTTCCGGTTGCCCCGCTGTTGTGAATGCACACAGGTTGAGGTTTACTTAGAATGAATTTTCCCATTTAAGGAGCGGTCTCCAATACTTTAATCATTCAAAGACGAGTTTTACTAGTTCCTAGCTTTCAGGCTAACCAATAACATAGAACTCTTATTTTTCAATATATTCATTGTCGTCGTTGCGAACGATGAGCAGGATCATGATGTGGCTGTGAAGTTTGATGTGCGATGCGACGAGCACGATGATGATGAGGCGGCTGTGCAGTCGATGTGCTGTGCGGACGATGATGATGAGGTGGCTGTAACGTTGATGTAAGACGACGATGGGGACGGCGGTGTGCAGCGGTGACGTTATAGAGCATCACTGCCGGATTGTGTCGGTGAGCAGAGGATTCCGCGGTGTGCACGCCCGCTGGACCATCGCTGGAGTCCCGCGGGACCTGCTCGACCTCCGCTGGAGTCCCGCACACCGGTTAGGCACTCCCGCTGGAGTCCCGCGGGGTCATTTTCCAGTCCCGCTGGAGTCCCGCTGGGTTTAGTCCCGCTTTAAGTAGATTCCCGCGGGACCCAACTCTTCGACCTCATCGTTCTCAACGATGTCAAGACTATGACTGATGCAACAAATAGGGATAATTATCTACTATATCAGACTCTATGCTACTGTTTACAGAACATCAAACAGTGCCGCCGTCGTTGAGAGCGGGACTTGGATTTTTCAGGGGTCCCGCTGGGCCAGACCTGCGGGGGTCCCGCGGCGAATTCCGTAGGCCCGTCAAAGTTCTATCTACCTTCAGCACGAGCCTGATTCATCTCCACAAACCCCCTCACTTGTACCCAATCCCGACACTTATGCACGACCAAATGCCCCGCCGCGGCCGGATCACACGTGCCATCCGGCTCGCATATCGAAGTGGTGGGATCGAGCGTCAGGTCGGCCGCCCACGTGAGCGCCTGGCGCAGCTGGCTGACGCACTGCGGAGCCAATGCGTCCTCGGGAACGCGCATCCCGGACTCGTGCTTGTCTTTGTGCGCTAGATACGCGGAGCGCAGGAGGTTCAGGCAGTGCAGATCGGAGTACAGCCCAACGGTGAAGTATTTCTGATCGGGAGCGGCGGCTGATGGCGACCGGATTCGGTCGTCTGATGGGACGAGAGTGGCCCAAGCGGCGTCGTCCGCGATGCGGTATTCGTCAGCAATGAGGCTGAACTGAAGGGCGGCGGGTCTGACGAGGAGCGGCAGCTCGTTCAGAAGTGGCTGCGCTCCAAGTTCTGATGCTGAAAATGCAACGACTGTCAGATCAGTCAGGTCCCGTGGTCAGACGAAGAACTCCCGCACCGAACGGCAGATTCAGTTGGCGGTAACTCAGCACATTGAACGTGAGACTGAAGGCAACAGCTACAACGAGCCAGGTGGTCTGAGTGGAGGTGAGCATCGAACGAGGTATGGAAGGAACTGGAGGAACTTGGTACAGCCGATCAGATGCCCATACTGCTGAGAAGAATCACATAACTTTGGCTTTCGGGATGAGGTCAAAAACTGCCAAACTGATAGGCCTATGCGCAGCCCCTAAAACAAGTACCCATCACCCGTCGGGCTTCTCGCCGCTGATGTTGCACTCTTCTAGCAGCGACTATTGAAAGCTCGATCCTTAGTATCGCTGTCGTCGCGATGATGGTTATCGTGAGAAGGGAGCTTTATAAGGCGCAGTGAGTGGAAGCCTGGTCATCTCAAAATCCAGAAATCTAACCAAGATGATCGTGAAACTCGCCGCTTTTTTGTCCCTGTTCTCTATGGGCCTGCTCGCAGCCGCTGCACCGACCGAACCACGTGCGTAGACACTCCCTCTTCCACAATTTTGGAACTTGTTCTTGATATCGATACTCCTTTAGAACTTGCTCGGCGTGCGCAGGACAGCGTCCCCAATGGTACGTGTATTCTTTCCATGCGGGAGAGAGACTCACGGGTGGCTGACTGATGCAGCACCGTTCTGGGGCCGCAAGTCGGAACCCGTCCGCGCAGCACGATGGGTTGATTCCCGTGCATGAATATACCATTATCCGCTTCTCCGACTTATAACTCTCTCCGATGTTACTGGAAACATGAATATATAATCGAGCCGTCCAGCGATCGTGTCGGTGTTGAACTCTGGGGGTGACTTGCAACGACAGGCAGCGTGCGGTTTCCGACATGCGACTTCGTGCGCGTGGTCAACAACGAGGCCGCCTGCACAAGCGGGAGAATCAACTTGATGGGCAGCAACGGTTTTGATGAATTTTGATTGCAGGTATCTAGGAGGCTACGACCGCACTGATAAGCCCGTCAGTCTGTACTAAGACTCTGCCGAATAGGGGGGGATAGACGGAGAAGTTCTATTGAGAGCTTCGAAGTCAGACGCCGTCCGCTAAATTGATTTCCCTTGGTCTTCTTAGCGCATGAGCTTCGACTATCGCACGGTGATGTAAATCGCGTGAGACCAGTCCTAAATATAAGACAAGCTCGGGAATTGGAGAGTCGGGAGACCAACAGCAATGATCATCTTGAAAGTTGCAAGTCATAGCCCTCCCGTGCTTTGGATTGCTAGCACCCCCGGTCGCGTTCGATAACATTCATACGTGGAGATTGATCCAAGCAATAGGCTGATTTCCGAATGTCTACACACGCACATTCGAAAAACTATGGGAACAGAAAGGATCGTGCCCGCTCTTGTCGGGGACATTTTCTAAAGCGTGTGAAGTAACGAAGAGAAAGCATCAGATCTCTGCCAGACCACTCGTCCGGAACGCGACCGCCCTCCTGACGAACCAAAGCGTTCCCAGCATCCGAATGACCGTGAAGACGAGCCAGCGCACGGGCGCCCACATCTTTCGTGGCGAAGTAACTAATCCGATCCCGCGCTCCGTCAGCTTGATCACCTCCAGCGCCCGTTCGTGTCTCCATCGAGCCCACTCCAAAAGTCCGCTATCATCCTCCGGCGCGCCGAGATGCGCGCTCAGGACGGGCCCCAGGCTGATCGAGTCGCGCAGGCCGAGACTCATGCCCTGCCCACCGAGGGGACTGTGGACGTGGGCTGCATCGCCGACGAGGAGGACGACGCCTCCGCCGGGGAAGCGCATGAAGTGGCGATCTGAGACGCGCGAACGCGTCTTGAAGCGCGACGACCAGTGCACGGTCTCGATCGTGGAACCCTGCAGGGCCGCGGGGGCCATCCGATTGAACATCTTCTGCAGGTACTCGAGACCGGGCGCATGCGGTGCGTCTCCCAGCTGCTGCGGAATTCCGGTCGAGATGCGGTACACTGGTTTCGTGACGTTGGGGTACGCTCCGTCGGGGAACTGCGCGATGAGCATGACATTGAAGTTCGCGATGCGGAGTAGGATGCGAGGCACGGTCGGTCCCAGTGGCTCGGAGAAGGAGACATCACCGACCGCCATCTGCGAGAGGTCTCCGAAGTCGCGTGGTCCATCGCCCTGTGGGTCCTTGAATCCGATCCCTGCGTGATGCCGAACCTGATGGTCATGTGAGACGAACCCACCCCACACACAGGAGGACATGGTGCCTACGATTGATTGCGCCCCATCCGCCCCGATGACATACTTCGCCTTGATGACTTCCCCGGACTCGAATGAGACCTCCAGCCTCCCAGAATCGTCGGTGGACTCCTTGAGCGAAGCGACCTTCATCGGTCGGAAGACGCGGATCCCGAGTTCCGTCACCTTGGCCAGGATCGACCGCTCCGTGCTAGATTGCGGGATGAGGAGGCCGAAAGGGAACTTGGTCTGGTCTGTCAGCGTCGTAAAGTCGGCGGTGAGCAAATTCGAGCGCCCCTCGTGCATCCCGAGTTTCTCAACCTGGTATCCCAGAGGAAGGATGGTGTCCATGCACCCAATGGTATCCAAAGCCTACGTGTGTGTTTTGGTCGCGTGTAGGAGCCAGAAAATCCCCAACCCACCTCGAGCGTCGCTGCGTGGATCATCATGGCGCGCGAGGCGTTCTCGCCCGGCTCGATGGCGTCGACTACCACCACGTCCTTGATGCCTTGTTTGTGCAGGGAGAGCGCCGTTGCCATCCCGCACGGCCCGGCGCCGACGATGAGAATAGGAGTTTCCGATGGCAAAGACATCTAGAGGAATACGGAACAATGCAGTCTAAAGCCACGCTGTCAGGCTCTTATAGGTTTCCGAGACAGTCCACATGGCTAAACGGCATAGGCACTTGCGTAAACCCACTCGACAAGGCCGCCAGAAGACTCAGAAGAGCCGCAGTGATGGTCAGTCGGACAGGCTCGCACCAACATTCCGATGTCGAAGGACCGTCTACAAAATGGGGTGTAGGAATCACAGAGGAGAGGGGGTCAACCTGCTGCCGCTGCTGCTGACATCGGCCGGCAGCCTCGTGTCTGTGTAAATTTCTTATTTTATGTCGTTGACACTGGTGTGTGTAGGTAAGGGCGTCCTATTTTCAGGATCTCGACCTCTGTCCTGTCGCAAACTTTCTCCTGAGTCATTCATGATGTGTCACATATTTAGTCATCCCTGCTTACACTTTTCTGATCCAGACGGAAAGTAACTCGCACTGTCTCGTACCGTCGTGTGCATTCCATTTCCGTGCAAAAGACTCAGGGCTATCAGGGACTTCATCCGATCATCGTCTTTTGCTCTGGCCTACCGATCTGGATACACCACATTACGTGCGACCGCTCTGTAACCTTGCCCACTCCAGCAACGCGGCCGCAAGATAGCAGTCATTTTGCCGGTCTGTCATGACCCGCTCTGCAAAGTGTAGCCCGTTGAGCTGGATCTGCCTCGCCTCCTCCTCATGCGCAATCGCCCACTCGACCTTCTCCACGAGGTCCGCCAGGTCGATCCGGACTGGGATGTAGTGCTCGTACGGCCGCAGCCAGTCTGAAAAGTACTCCGTGAATGCCGTGGCCTGTGTGCAGAATGCTGTCAGTCATCTCTTGGCACGCCATCCCGCTTCTGCGCACTCACCTTGAACACCAGCGACCCAGACCTCAGCAACCCGAGAAAACGCCCCGAAAACGTGTGGCCGTCGACGTCGAGCGCGAATTTGTACTTGTACACCTCCTCGCGGGGATGCGCGCCCCCGGGGGTGATGTATTCCTTGATGATTGGCTCTGGGACGCAGTCTGTCGTGCAGTGGCCGGGGAACCACCCCGTCATCTTCGCGTCCATGATGTCTGGACGTGTCGCTGCGAGCTTGACGAGCCGGAATCGGGTGAAAGCATGGTAGTTCTGGTGGAGGATCTGGCCGTTGTTCGACATGCCGCGCCAGTCTGGGACGCAAGACGGGTGAGTGACTGCCGTCGAGTGAGTACGTAGAAGACTCACACAAGACGTCTTTCTTCGCTTGCCAAGGAATGTCGTCCGCGTGCTGGAAATTGCCAGACCATGGTGACGAGGCGTAATACCATTGCGCGGGGAAGACGATGTCAGCGAAACACGGGGACGCGAGCTTGGTCATGCTGAGGAGGGGATAGAGGTCTGTCGTGAACTCGGATGTCGAGCTGGACCGGATAACTTGTGCGAGCAAGTCAGCAGGCTACCCGAGCTTGGACGAGAAGCGCTTACAAGGAACAGCGTCGAGGGCGTCGATGCCAAACCCTTGGTCGGTGTCTATCACGGCGCACTCTCTGCGATCTTTGAAGAAGTCGGCGGTGGGGAGGGGTGTGAGTCGGAAGGGCTGTGAATCCGATATCATCAGCGCCGCCTTGCGGTTGTTCGGATCGGCGGTGTTGAAAACGACGCGAGGCTCGTCTCTTCCGTTGATGAGGAACTCCATGTCGGGCAGCACGGACGAGAACTGGATCTCATGAGGAGGAGGCGGAGACAGAACGGAAGGCGGACGTACATTCGACATGCCGCGCTGCCACTCTCCGTCATACGGCGTTCCTGCGTAGTCCGGCAGCCGGACCTGCCCATCCACAATCCTGATTGCGACCATTCCTTTTGGGTCGACGCGCAGCTGTGTCCGTGTTCCGTGTCAGCCCATGCTCTGCATTGCGCGCGCGCGTCAGCCACGCACCAAGCGCGAGCCCAAATCTGCCATTCTCCGGAAATGGTCCGGATCCTCTCTCGCCAGCTGGTAGAAAGGCTCTAAGTCCCGCTGGATCTGGCGGTAGTCGTCGATGAGACAGTGGTTCTCCTGGGCGTAGGCAAACCATCTATCGAAGTTGGGTGGCGGGGGTCTGTTATAGCGCATGCTGTACTTGGTCGCCGCCTCCGCAACCGTCTGAGACTGTCTGCGGAAGAGCTCGTCGACACGCATCGCTGCGAGGATCTCTGGATCCGCCAAGTCCACCTTGCTCGTTGTGCCATTGCCTGCATCGGTCGGGTCGTCCAGCTCGAGCTCGAGCACCCATGTTTCCGTCGAGGTGTCGGATGATAGCGCATCGGGGTAATAGACATGAGACACGACGAGGACGAGCGCGACAGTCGCAAATAGCGTGCAGAACAAGAGTCGTCGCCGCAGCTGGCTGCTTGTCACGAAAGGGTCGTTCTGTCTGGACATGGCGCTGGGGGAGAAGACGATAAGGAGGCGTGTCTTGCGGGACTGCACGAGCCTCGCGCAGCCTCTATCAGAGACGCGGAAGGTGTCTCAGACATGGCGCCAGCTATGCTTCCGTGGAATGGAACGACGCCGAAAAGGGGGTTTCATCAGCTTTGCAAACACCGATTGCTCTTCATAGCCTGGATATATAGGCACGATACGATTGTTCGTAGACATCACACAGTGCGGTCACATTGCAAGTATCCATCGGAGAGTAGGCCGCGTTGCGCTCGGGCGCTTCCAGCGCTGGGAGATGATTTGACGTGGGAACTGGAAACAAATGATCTAAAAAGACCACCCAGTGCTGCAGCTCGTCGGTGGTCACCCTCGCTGCCACGTAGCCGGATTGAACGACTGATCTTCCCATAGCGTACAAGTGGGATGCTTTACCACTAAGCCAACGCGGCGATGACGTACTTTCTGGCATGGGTTCCAACTCAATCGATCAAGTCTCTCGCAGAGAGACACTGACGAATTTCAAACGATTTGACACGCAGGCCAGATGCTGTCACCTGACCGCGTTTGCACAACTGACGAGTTAATCTTGACGTGCCATGTGGCTGTACACAGAGTATTTGAAGTCCAAGACAAGCAGTCCGCGGCGCCAGCCAATGTGTTCCGCGATATGTATAGCTTGTGATGGCCGTGGTGGTTGGACTTCTCAGCTTGCGCTGCTGGTTGGACCCTGCGGGGATTTAGCAGTGGTTGGTTTTTCCTTGCGACTCTGCTGGAGACTGAGTGGCCAGGCGCGCTGACAGTCCACCCTTCGTTCTGTTTCCCACATGCCCTGCCTTGTCTGCTTGTCCAGCATGCGAACAGCATACCGGGAAGAGTCGACTTGTAGATACTGGTAGTCATTACACTCGTAAACGTAAGCATAGCCAAACATCTTCTCCAATCCCGCCATGCACACCGCTGGGGCGTCCGCAGTCCTCCAGGTACCCCTCGATGTCCCCCGCTGTTGCTTACAACGCCAAGACGATAGGGGGTCGGCCGCATGTGCGGTGATGGTCTCTATACGGCACCATCACTCGCTAGCGTCTTCGAGTCTTCCTCAGCCCTCTCCCTGTCCCTACTCACCACCTCCCACCTCCCGATGAGCGACTCCCCTCCGCGCCCTGCCCCGCCGACCCTCGACTTCACGCAGCATGTCCTGGATGACGGACAGGTCGTCAGCACCCAGGAGCGCTTCGTCAAGGTGTGGCGCCATTCCGCTTTTTTCTGCGCCGCGTGCCAGTGGCCCTGATGACGGAGTCGTCAGATCCCGGCCCCCGCGACTGCCCGACCGACATCTGAGCAGTTCTTCTCGAGCGTGGACCCGACGAAACCCGACCTCGAGTTCCTCAAGAACCACTTCATCAATGAGGGCCGGCTGCGCGAGGAGCATGCGTTTTACATCATCGAGACGGCGACGGAGGTGCTCAGGCTGGAAGGGAACGTGCTGGAGATCGATGGCGGCGTGACTAGTGCGTGCGTCGGGCTGCGTCCTTGCTCTTCTTACTGATGGTCGGGGCAGTATGCGGCGATATACACGGCCAATACGTGGGTGGACCGCGCATCTGCGGCGCGGACGTCAGTTGACCCCTCCGATAGTACGATCTCATGAAGCTGTTCGAGTTCGGTGGGAATCCGGCGGAGACGACGTACCTGTTCCTCGGGGACTACGTCGATCGGGGTTACTTCAGCGTGGAGGTGTGACCATGTGTCTTTTGTGCCTCAATCCGCCTGCTTACCCACGTAGTGCGTCCTGTACCTCTGGGCGCTCAAGATTTGGTATCCGAAGAGCATCTACCTGCTGCGCGGAAACCACGAGTGCCGGCACCTGACAGACTACTTCACCTTCAAGCTGGAATGTGCGTTGCGTTCCGTTCTGCGGGGCCACTCGTTGTTGAGCAGGCGCAGGCAAGCACAAGTACTCGGAAGCCCTCTACGACGCGTGCACCGACTCGTTCTGCGCACTCCCGCTGGCTGCGGTCGTCAATGACCAGTTCTTGTGCATACACGGTGGGCTGTCGCCGGAGCTGAGGACGGTCGACGACATCCGGAAAGTGTGTTTGGGTCTCTCCCCGGGGACGCGCCATGTGCTGACCGCTCCAGATCAACAGGTTCATGGAACCGCCGACGTCGGGCTTGATGTGCGACATCCTGTGGTCTGACCCGGCGGAGAACTTTGGCTCGGAGACGACGACGGATGGGTTTTTGCATAACCATGTGCGGGGATGCAGCTTCTTCTACACGTGAGTCTACTTGTGTCTCTGTGTCCTGACACTGAGCACGACGATGGCAGGTACAATGCCGCTTGTGCCTTTCTTGAGCGGAACAAGCTGCTCTCAATCATCAGAGCGCACGAAGCACAAGACGCTGGGTGCGGATCTGTGACTGTGTGGTGATCTTGCGTGTGTCCTTATGAGCGCTTCCAGATACCGGATGTACAAGAAGGCACGGACGACCGAGTTCCCTGCGGTCATGACGATCTTCTCTGCGCCCAACTATCTGGATGTATACAACAACAAAGCGGCCGTTATCAAGTGCGTCACTCTGTCGTCTTCCTTATTGTGCTGTTCCCGACTGTGCTTAGGTATGAAAACAATGTGATGAACATCCGCCAGTTCAATTGCAGCCCTCACCCGTATTGGCTGCCAAACTTCATGGACGTGTTTACCTGGAGCTTGCCGTTCGTCGGAGAGAAGAGTGCGTGATGCCAAGCTCTAGACTGACTCCAGCATCTGACGACACCGCCAGTTACGGACATGCTCGTCGCCGTGCTCAACACGTGCACCAAGGAAGAGCTCGAGGAACAAACCGAGTCTGAGACACCCGTGTCCCCGATCGAGGACAGCAAGGCTCGACAGCAGGTGATCAAGAACAAGATCATGGCGGTCGGCCGGATGTCGAGGGTGTTCTCGTTACTCAGGTGCCTCCTTCGCGTGTGTTTGTCCGACCTGCGTGCTAATCGCTGGAGCCAGGGAGGAATCGGAGAAGGTTTCCGAGCTCAAGAACGTTTCTGGGTCGGCCAGGTTACCGCACGGGACGCTGGCATCTGGATCGGAGGGCATCAAGGCCGCTATCAGCGGGTTCGAGGACGCGTGCGTGTCCTTCCTCCTCCTCCCTTCGCATCTCTGAATGAACCTGCAGCCGCAAATCGGATATCGAGAACGAGCGCCTGCCCCCGGCGTTGTTCGACGTCGGGTCTGAGCAGGGCAAGGCGCTCATTTCGTCCGCGGTCCTCGAAAAACCGGAGGCGACGCCTGCCTTCCGGCGCGGTCACTCAAGAGGGGCGAGTCTCGGGACGACGACGACCAGTCCGAGTACGCGTAACAGAGGGCTGGAGGATACGAGGAGCCTGATTCAGGGTGTTTGGGACGTGGAGGACGGTGCTGGGGCTTAGGTACATTCGATTTGGATTATAATGGAGACAACTGTCTTGCTGTGTGTCACTGGAGGCCTGATCGCGAAAGGCGGCGTAGCCTGAAGTGGCTCAATGACGGGTGTCTACCTTTCGGAGGATTGCATGCGGACATAGCAACCACTGGAGACCTGCGCTGAGAAAACTCAAGGCTTGCGGATCTGGAACCGACACCCCGTCCTTTTCCAGAATCCGATTCTTAATAACATCCGGACACCGCTCACTGCAGCGCAGCCCGTTGCAGCAGGTTGTCCGGAGGAGAACTCCAGGGTATGAAACGGGGAGGATCGATACACGGGTGAGATCAAGAGCCCTCTCCACCTGGGATCTCTGATCCCGCAAGTTGTCCCTCGGCCAAGACAACCACGATCTGGCCCTGGAGTGCTCTCTGTGCCGGCGGCGGTCCAAGTGTCGTATCAGAAATTGCTGTGAAACAAACAAGATGTCCAGAACTCTCTTCGGCGACAGATCCAGGTGACCCCGACTGTCCTTATCGTTTCGTGTCATTCGCCGAGGCCGAGGACGTGGCAGACGAGTGGATCTGATCGTACAAGAATACGATTCATTCCTCGAAGTTCTGATCTCGCACCCATGCCTTTTCGGGAAGGCAGGCGGTCTGCTCTGCCACGGCTCCGAGCACTAGTCGGTTTCAGTTGATCGATGCTTGTTTCCGGGGCCTGAGACACGCTGTGTGTGTGTTTATATCAGCCGTGTGCATCAGACACCTGAATTGGCGTTTGCGATGTGTCCCTCTGCGACTGTATTCTGATCGAGCTATTCAAGACGCTGCGAGTCGATTGATGTCGAATATTGTGGGATAGCAACTACAGGGACGTGGCTGGGAACCGAGGTCTCTGAGAACGGCTTGGGGCGAGGCCTGGTCGCGTCGGATATTCTCTCTCTGCTCCTCCATGTCTTGACATCGACGCTCGGATGCGGGGTCCCTGATGAGGGACAGGAGCCAACGGCGTGCTGTATCACGAGAATATCCGTCCAGATGCTAGCGAGCGTCGCGTGGCGCCGCATGACGCAGAAACGAAGGATCCGAAGGCATCCTAACCACCGCCGTAGCGCGTGAAACCGCATTGCATCGCATCTGTCCCCCTGAGCTGCAGCGCACTTGCTACTGTGCCGAGTTCTCGTGCTTGTGCGTGGATCAGGGATCGCCGAAGGGACCGAGGCGGATCTGAAACTTGCCGCGATCGAATACATCACGTCTTTTCTCGGGGAAGGACTATCAGCATCTCCATTACATGGGCCCGCGTGGACGTACCTGTCCGCCCAGATGGAGGCTTTGCGTCGGATAGAGATGGATCTTCCGCCACCGTAGCTGGGTTCTCCGAGGGTCGAGGTTTCGATTGTCTTCTGATCACGCCTGCCAAAGGCTCAGCTGCCACGAAAGCACTCACCAAGACATGGATGAGACAGGGTTTCGCCATCAAATCACGCTGTATGGCCTGGGTCTGCGGTGCCAGGTGCCGCTGAGCTCCAGGCCGCCCAGTGTGCAGTCTGTGATCAGGATCGGTTGCCTACAGCGAGGACTCGAGTCTGAGTCTGGGGCCGTTCTCCTGTCCTGTTCAGTGAAATGAAGGATCTCAGGCTGTTGTGTCCATTTTCCCTCCGGCCGTCCCGACAGACACTGCGCAGTGGAGCCCTTGTCTGGAGCGATAACCCATTGACAAAACTAGCTCGCTCACATGAGTCAAGAGCGCAGCTGTAGCACCGTCGGGGGGGCAGCTCGAATGGTTACCGCGCGCTGATGGCGATGCATATTCATATTCCCTTTCGCAGCATGTCAGCGACCAGGGTCCAGCGGTGTCCCGCCGATCCTTCTCCTCGGCCCGCGAGGCCTTTTCTCCAGGGACGCGTGAGTTCATCCTGGATTGCTTGGTGCGCGGCCCAGTGGAGAATGGAGGAGAGATGCGTCGCGGCAGCTGACAGCCCCAGTGGGGCCAAGGTTGGTCGAAGTAAAGTAAGTATGTGTCACGACTGCTCGGAATTGGGGCCTGGACAAACCTCCCAAAGGGGAAATGTCATCGGCATGTCCGGCATTTGATGCGAGGTTGATGCGAGTGATGATGATTGCCATTTTAGGGTAACAATAGACCGTAGTTTACACAATATATGCGCCCATTGCTTATACCATCCTCCACCAATCCCTAATGTCGTTCTCGACGTTCTCCATCCACACCCTGGCTGATGCGCCCTCTGCTGGCGCGCCAAAGCTCTTGCGCGCCAAATCCGGAGCCCCTAAGACTGCGAAGGGCGGTCTCAACCCGCTCAGCCTCAATTCTAAGGTGCTGCTAAATCAACTCGACCTTAATGACGACCAGAGAAAGAGGATAAACGAACTTTACGCGTTGCATGATCGATCTCCGGGGGAATCATCTCTTGTGGACCACATTTTCGATGACAAGGACCCCGTTGACCAAGCGCTCGCAATGGACATCCTGGAGAACGAGAAGTTGGACGAGGCAGCTTGCGCAGACCTCGGGAATCGATGGTCCCAGACTTGGAGCAACAAGACGGGCACCGTTGTCAAGACGCGCCGCGTTCTATACCAATGCACCTCGGGGTATGATCATACGCGACGATCGAAGAAGGACGCGCAGAATGCTGCCCGCAAAGTTGCCATGCCGTTCACTGGATGTCTCGCCCATGCGGAGCTGACCATCCGCGCGCACAAGACGCCAGAAGAACGAATCCTACGCATTCGCGGTCAACTGCAGCACAGCGAGGACTGCCAGAACGCGCGGATAGAGAACTTACCCGTCTTCCCACTCCATCCTGAAGTCTTTGACTTCGCGTTGAAGCAGCTGAAGGACGGCGCAACTATTGCAGACGTCAGACGCAAAAACCGGGAGATGTTCGCGCAGAAATCTTACCCCAGTTTCCCCAAAAACTTGAAGGAGTCTTGCTTTCGTTGGATTTTCACATCGAATGACTCGCGGTCCCTGCACCGAAAGCATCATCTCCAAAACGGCGTTGCTTTGCGGGACATACCGGAGATCCAAATTGACGACTGGCTCAATCCCGACTCGCTCGCGTATAATCCCACATTGGCAAAAGCCGTATTTCACTATTCGGCCCGAGCTGAAAGGAACGAGCGCTTCGAAGTCTGTGTGGCGACCGAGGAGATGGATGCGGCTGCTTGGAAGCACGGACATCGAAAGCAGATTATTCTGGACGGCACATTCGGGGTGTGTGACAAGCGGCTGTTACTCTTCATTGCCATGGTCGTCGATGAACAGAAGAAGGGAATACCTGTGGCTTTCTTGATGTTCTCAGCACCAACCGGTGAGTTGCTCCTTCAAGTCGGCAGTTGTCGTCTGAGCTGACTGATCTACAGGCAATAAGCAATCTTCATCGGGTTATGACACCGAAATTCTTACCAAACTCCTCACCAAATGGCAGGACTCTCTCAACCGCAACAAGAACAAGCCGTCAGGTGCTACATCATTCAACCCGGTATCCGCGATTACAGACACAGACCTTAAAGAGCGCGCTGCTCTAGCTCTTGTTTTCCTCGGAATCATCCTTCTTATCTGCCGATTCCATCTCCGGCAGTCTTGGCGAAATCATCGAAACAAGGTGCTGAAAGGGAAGACTGCGGTGCTGATGGATCTGAAGTCGAGAATGAGAGTTCTCGAGACTGCGCTGCCGAAAACGGAGAAGATCGAAGACGCCCGTCAGCTAATCGAGGATGAGCGGGGACGACTGATGCTTGAAGCGACGGCGGACCCATCCAGCGCGCGTGCCATTCAGAAAGCAATTACACACCTCGATTATCTGAATGGGTACTGGATGACTGAAGCGTTGTGGAAGAGTTGGTCGAATCACAATCGGTTGCTTGTGGCAGGAATGCTTGGATGCGGCATTGAAGGCGTCATTCCTACCACCAATCACTTGGAATCGTTCAACGGCGTCTTGAAGAAGACTCACCTCAAGCACTGGCAGAACGGAGGACGTCGTTTGCGCATAGATGTCCTTCTGAACGCCCTCGTTTGCTTCATCTTGCCATCCATCTTCGAAGAACGTCGATTGTACCTGGAGCAGAGCAGTCGCCTATCCGCCATGATTGCTCTGCTCCCCGGCGGCGCCGATCTCTTGAATAAGAAGCAAATGAGCTCGGTTGAGGTCGTCTCGGAAAGACCGAAAGTGGCGTACCTCAATCCCGACTCTGGCCGCGACTCCCGAGCAAGTAGGCTGCTCGAGGCCCGCCAAATCAGCGTCCCCGAGATGATGCCGGGCAACATGGGGTTACTCTTCACCTGCTATTCCTCTCAGGCTCTCTCCTCCGAAGCAAACCCCATCACCTACAATATCCGAGCGGGCTTTAACGGTGTCGTAACTTGCACTTGCATGGACTTCGTTCAGGAAGGAGGTGCCTGTAAACACATTCGTGCCGCGCTCTTGAGGGCCAAGGAGATCTGTTTAGCGGACGGACAACCTCTCCCCGGAATCCCGATCCCTAAGTCCGTGGAGGATGCCCTCGCTCTTCAAAAGAGTCAGATACTTACCATACGGCTTCGGTTACCAAGTACGCGAGCGGCCGAGGTTGTCGAAAGGTTGGAGCAGGAGGGCAGAGCGGAGGATGAGGCGGATGGAGCGACCAACGCCGTCGATGATCATGCCGATGAAGATGATGATGCGTCCAGTGTTGCTACGGACGCATCCTCAGACTCCGAGCTTGACTTGAGCGAAGATCCGATCGACGAGAGGCAGATGATTCAAGCGACGCAGAATACCACGGCTTTGAGCGCACAGGCAACGGCGAAGTCGTTGTTTCAATTCGATGCATTGGTCGGCGGCGAGTTATCTCAGTGGAGGAAGGCATTGGGCGGTATTACCACGGGTGTCAGCGAAGCGCAAACTGACATGATCCGTCGTGGAAGAGCCGAACTTCTCGCGCTCGCCGACGAGCTGTCCAGAATCGAGTCGCTGCCGAGAGTGGCGGAGACCGACGCACAGGTCTTTGTTCGGCCCGCCACCCCGCCCCCGCCCTCGTCGAGCGCCCCTCTCAAACGCGGATCCAAGCGGAAAGCGTCGGAAATGGAGCGGACAATCTATCCGGTGTCTCCCGAAGCTAAGCAGAAGCGAAAACAGTCTTATGCGTACGATTAGATACCCTAAAATGTTTACAAAGTCTTATCTAGATCCATCATATCCATCAATCACATGGCTGTTGGCCGACAGGCCGGGCCTTCCTAATCGGGAAGAAGGTTTGTCCACGCCACACTTCCCGACTGCTCGTGGGTGTGTCATCATCATGCGGGGGATCAGTGGCAGTGTATTTCCTCTCGTCGAGACGAAAGTGGCGTAGACCCACCCACTGCGAAGTCAAGGTCCTCGGTCGAAGGTGAGGCCAAGCAAAAAATTGTATTGTGCCTGTGCTAGTCTGGAGGAAAAGACGGGCGGCTTGATCCATCTTTGGAGGCGTTCGTCTGATCCATCCATGGGGTGGGGTGGATCAATGAGATGGTGAGCAAGAAAGGCTAACGCGAGAAGAGAAAAGCAGGGCCTCTCAGGCAAAGGGGCAGAAGCTGTGAAATTTCACGTGGGATCTGTGTTTGGGGCCGTCCATGCCTAGAATACAGGTGGCGAACGGAATCCCCGGTCTGATGTCAATTTGCGTAACATTTCTGTCAGACTTTAGAGCGAGAGGCAAGCCAGGCCTCCCTACGCCGAGGTGCCCAAGATTACATTGTGGGAAATATGACAAATCTTTTCGCCACCCGAATGAAGAGCTCTAATGCTAGTAAGATTTGAGTACTAAGCTTCGGCAAATTAGCATTGTGCAAGGCGTCTGTCAATGCCAGTCCCGGACGGGCCACAGGATCGGGGACTTGGAAGAGCCAGGCCTTCGCCCGCGACTGTTGGGACTGAATCTCTCGAGGCCTCCTACGAATCTGGATGGAGAGCGTGGTCAGGCGTGAACTCGACGAGATAATTGGTGGATCTGATGCGCCATCGCGAGAAGCCCACATGCTGTTGTTGCTTATGTGAATGTACGAAATTCGCGGTGTATGTGGGGATGGAAACGCGCGGTCGTCATGGGTCGCCGGCGTCTCTTCAGCTCCCGAACACTAGCGAGTCGAGCCTGGTATCCGTTACACGTACGAAATATTGGCTTTCTGGCCCTTTCACGCAGTTCGTCGAGCCTGCAATGACCCCGAAACAGCCTCGCAGGATTTTGCTGACAGTGCATCGGCTTCGAATCTCTTGGGTGGCCACTCGATTTCCGTCTTTGTTGAACATGCATCCGCAGGCCCAACAGCTCTGTGGAGCCTCGCTGGCTCAATGATCGTGGGAAGCATGCCGAAAAGGAAGCGGCGTGAAGCTGTGTCAGATCCGTGCCACACGTCCAGCATGATCACCGTTTCTCCGTAGCAGCTTCCTCGGTTCTTTCTACTCATCAGCATCCGTTCAGCCACGTTCAGAATCCACAGCAGGCGGGGTATATAACCACCGGGGTTGCAGCAGGGATGGGTTCAACAACTTGCCGCCGCAACTGCCCACTACCGTCACGATGTCTTCCCCTGTGGACTACTCATCGTGGTCGCCGGCCTCAACCAGCTCCGACTCACGCTCGGGATCACCGGTCCATCCTGCTTCGCTGGTGGATCCTACGACGCACTCCTCTGCGATTCTGCAGCTGATGGGTGTGAAATTCACGCCGTCCGTCATAGGTAGGGCACTCCCTTCCAGCGGTCATAAGCCGGCTGCTCATTCACCTCCCCCAGACTACATCGTCGAGTGCATCGCCGACGCGGTCTCGTACGCTCTCATCCGCGGCTCGCGCAAGCCCTCCCGCTCGCGTCCGTCGCTCCGCGCCACATCCCTCCCCCTCGACAAATTCACGCACTTCGTAAAGATGATACTCGCCCGCGCGGAAGTGAAACCCGCCGCGGTCCTCGTCGCGCTCGCGTACGTCGCGCGCGCGCGGCCGCATCTCGCCATCGCCTCGCCCGAGTGGGCGCTCGAGCGCGTGTTCCTCGGCGCGCTGATCGTCGCGAGCAAGTACACGCAGGACAGCTCGCTGCGCAACGTGCACTGGGCGCTGTGCAGCGGTGTGTTCGGGCGGCGCGACATCGGGCGCGTGGAGCGGGAGTTTCTGGAGGTGCTCGATTGGGAGCTCGGTGTGCGCGAGGAGGAGATCCTGGTGCATTGGGGTGGGGTTATGGGGCTGCGTGACGAAGAGATGCCTGCCGCGGCTTCTAGGACTACGATGAAGAAGCCCCCCCCGTTCGGAGGACCACAGCGATGCGGTGCCGGCACTCGAGCCGTCTAGCCCCTCCAGCACGCATTCATCCTCGCCACGCACGCCGTCGACAATCGACATGGAGGTGGATCAGCCAGCACCCCACTTCCAGGAGAAGGCAAAGATGCACTACAGCCACCGTTCGCGCCGACTCGGTGGGCCTTCAGGGTGTTACACGTCCACCTCCCGGGCTACCACGATCAGGCCGCGAGCCCCTTCACTGCTAGTGTCCAGTTACTGAACTGGATGATTCGTGGTCCGAAATCCTCCGATCCGCCTCCGGGCCTTTCGAGATCTTGCGCGGGATCAGACCTCAAGCTGATCCCGCGCACTGGTGTATGCGACAAGGCTTGCGATTTTACCCTTCCAGTGCTTACATTTATCATACCCGCCATCAACACTGGATGTTGTTGTCCTGCAACGCGCCAGTTCGCAGTCCGCTGACACGTCATAAACATATCTCTCATTTATCGTGCTATCGTGCTTTCCCCAGCCATGTACTTAACTGTATCCCATCGCTCCGTCACTCCTTTGATATCGCCGATATACTGTACCCATCCTCCAAAATATTAATCATACGCACAAATACATGTACTACAAAAACTTCATTACCCGCGCGGCTACAGATAATAAAATGCACCCGCAGTCACTGTCAAAATTAAAGCTCACTCGTATGAGCATCAGTGCGGGGTAACCACGGCAGATACTAGACACTGGAATGCATGTATGGTATGGTTCTATATCTGGACATTGTTTTAGACTCCCCCTTCGAGACTCAAGACGTCGACATCTCTGGTAACTGTTCGCGAATCGCTCCGGCACCGCCATTAGGTCTGCTCCTACCCTAGAGAGATCCTCAGCGATGTGAGGCCTTGCCTGAAATCGGCATCCCCTGTCTACGATCAACGAGCCTGCGACAGCTTTTGAATGCTTGATCGCCAGAGATTGGGTTGTCAGGACTGGTGCTCAGAGGGTGAACAAGTCGCGTCTTCTATCCTTATTCTATAAGTTATACATCACAGTCAGAACAACTTCTATCCGCACAATCCTTTCAAGCCTTCTTTGGCGGTCGAAAGACCGTCTCCTCCAGCACCCTTCCGTCCTCGAGGGTGATCTTCTCCGCGCCGACCATAACAACCGCGATCCTGCATGTCTGCTCCCCGCGGTTGAACCACGCGTGATTCGCACCCCGCTGCACCATAAACTCGCCCTTCCTCACCGTCTTCTCCTCGCCGTTATCCAGGGCGAGCACGATCTCGCCCTCGATCACGACGGCGTAGTCGATGGTCTGCGTGCGGTGCATCGGAGCGCGCCCGCCGGGCAGGATGTCCGTGATGCAGAAAAGCACGCCCGTGGGCGGGCAGCGCGGGAGCGCCGTGCTGAGCTCGGGGAAGCGCGCGGTGTTGGACGCGGGGACGCTGGGCGACGCGTGGAAGGACGTGAAGTGGCTCGCGGCGGGGCCGAAGGGCGTGAAGGGCGTCAGCGCGGCATCGTGCGTGAAGACGGAGGTGCCGTCCTTGGTGTGGCCGGTGGTGACGAGGCGCGCGTTGGGAAGGTGGGTGTTTGCGTTGAGAGTGGGCTGCATGTTTAATGACGATGGCGTCTTGGAGCGTAGTCATCCAGTTTATATTCGTCCATGAGCGGTAAAAAGGAGTGATATCTTTCCCATTTGAGAGAGTGAGATTGAGTTGTGAGGGGCACAGCTTGATGGTATCCCGACAAAGCGGCAAAACGGGGTAGGTGGTTCCCTTTCTGGACCAATCCGACAAGTCGAGACCAGCCGGGTCGTCTGACACGTGATGATGACGCGTCGCGACGCGTTTCAGTTGCTCAATCAAGATCCTTATCATCAACTATCAATCGACCATGCTCGTGATGAGGATTCAGACACAGTCTGGATCTCTGTCATAGGCCATTTGCAGTGGATTGAATTCCTTTCCTTCGAAGTGAAAAAGGATCTAGCAGTGACAAACATATAAAAAAAACTAATAAGGCCCTTCAATCTACACTCTTGCCGCCCTTGTGATTTTTCTACCTAGAGATCCCGAACACAAAATATCGAGTATCCTCTCCGCGAGTGATGCTGGGTGGCTTTGTACGATCTGCCAGGTGTCAGACTAATTCAGAGTAACAATGAGGCAGGCCACTCACTGAAGTGCTACTCATGGGACGAAACGGATCGATTCAAACTTTTCGCTTCATCCCTCCACAAAATGATTAGAGGTGGACATATTTACCGGCCATTCTAGCAATACTGTCACCGGCAAAATGATCACATTTGATAGTTCGGAACACCTCGAATTATGACAATTTAGCTTGAAACAGGGCATTAGAGATCTCTGGCCCTCAAAGGGATTCTGCAGCCAAATCCAATTGCATGTCTGTCAATGGGATGGTACTGCTGAGGCCTCCGCATGTATGAGCACTCTGGAGGCTCTTTGGACGTCTCAAGTCTATCAGAAATGATCTGCAGATGTATTCACACATAGAAAAAGAAGGGCTGAGATTCGTGCGGATCCTTGCGTGACATCAACGACCGGTTTATCGTGGAATTCTCTGATAATATAGCGATTGATGCATGGCAGATACTCGACATCAGATCCATCATGGAACAAAGTGATAATACTGATGATACGCGAATCCGTGTCAAATCGCTTAAATTCAGGCTGAAAAACGGGTCTTCACTTCCTCCTCCAGAAATTCCTCCAACGTTCCAAGCTGAACGCCCAGCGCAACCAGATCTGGGCTCGGAATCGACGTCCCACCCAACAAGCCCTCATATTCTTCATGCGCAGCATACTCAAAACAAAGATCAGTTGGAAACACAGCTGATTCGAACAGTGCAAGTTAACACACCATCTCGTCGATAGACTGGACCCCACTAGGAGGTGTCTGTACAAATTTCACGGGGACTCCGAGCTCTGAAATCATTTTGTCACATGTAGCAAGCGGTGAAAACAACGCACTCTGCTCGATCAACTTGACAAACTGTGTGTAGGTGGTCCAGGCATTGACAATCGGGTACGACTTGCCAACAATAGTATTGTTTCCACTGGCATAGGCTTTGGCCAAAGCAAGCGCGACAACGCCCACATCGCGGCCTCCCCAGGTGAATATCTCCTTTGCACCAGGCGGATAAGGAACGGAGAGCTCGTAGCCTGGTTCCGCTTTCTTCAGCGCACCGAAGCTGGAGGAATAAGATGGATGTTACAAGAAGATTCAGAGCGAAGATGTGGCTCACGTCCAGAGATTTTCCAGAAATGAGCCAGCGAGCACTGATGCGTGCGCAAGTCCGGCGGTTTTGAGGTACTGTTCGACTTGAGCCTTGTCTGCGCGTGGTTGAACAATCTTTTCGCGGTGGTGGAGAGACCCAGGGGCCAGACCCACGATCGTAGTGCACAACTCCCTTGTATTTGCCTTGTGAAACCTCGACGACACTCGGAAGAGAGCTGGAAAACGGATTAGTTCTCCGAAGAGCAACTAAATCAGCGATAGAATCTCACCTGAATACGAGAAACTCGACACCCGCCTTCTTTGCAGCCTCGACAACGTTGATTCCTTGCGTCTTCTCGTCGACTGTGGCACCAAAAGCGACAAGGACCGTGACCTGCAGTCAGAGCAATGAGCATTCAGGCAACAAAAAAACAAGTAGGAAAAGTATGGTCACGAACTAGAAACACAACTTTGCTCCCCTGCAAGGCATCGAGCAACGTCTGGAAGTCGGCACACGTATCACCCTGAACGACATCTACGCCGCGCTTGACGAGGGCCTGCGCTGCGCTCGAGGTCGGGTTGCGGGTGATCGCGCGAGCCTGGAAGGTCCCATCGGTGAGGATGGCATTGATGACGCTTGAGCCTGCATTATAGTATGACTCGGCTGAGTGAGTCTGGAACCTGAGATGGGTCGAACGTGTACCTTGAGTACCCGTGGCACCAAACACAGAGAAGATTGGACGGGACATGAGAGCAGTGAATGAGTTGGGAGTTGGATTACACCGTGGCTGATATATATAGGTGAAATCGGTGGCGTGACTCGTCCGGACGATGACAAACGATGGCGCACGCACAAAGGAACTGGTCCATCTCGGGTCTTCGAATTGGTTCAGATGTGGACAACCAATCAGGAGGACACATGTGGTCGAGAAAACTGAGCCGGCGGAAATAGCCAGCAGTTGGTAAATCCTTTCATTGGATTCAATTTTCATCCGGCCTTGACGGTCGGAGGGTTTCACATGTTGCGACGAACCCGAGAAACGCCGTGGAAAGAACGAATGCCCAGGGCCAATTTTGCGGCGGCGAGAAGTGCGCAGGATGAAATGCCGGCAGATGCGTCATATCAGCGGCATACCGAACTAAAAGCTTGGTAAGCGACAGGAAAGTACGAGATCCGTGACATTGTTTGGCATCCATTGAGACCAGCTCGGGATCATGCTTAATCCGCCTGCCCGAGAACTGCGAACTGAATTACAGTTCTGGCATGGAAATTTCCAACTCAGACCACGAGTTAGCTTGTTTCCAGGTCTGATTCGGATCGAGTTCCGGACTGAACCTGGGCACCGCAAAGCCAATACAGATGGATTCCATTCTGACTGTTTTGTTTTTCGAATGGAGAGGTGTTGCTAGTGCGGCGCCGTCACCTGTCTGGCTTCTGTGCGCAGTTGCATGCTGCACCTCTGTCGCAATCCGTCAACGATGCAATCGAATCCGCAGCGGCGAAAGTCACACACTTTTTTAATCCCCCATCCTTCTTATCAGCAACTGCACTCCAAGCAGCGTTATGATCCCTGACTATTCACCCCAGATGGCCCGCTTCACAGGTGAAGCCGGCGCAGCCCTCGTTTTCCTCATCGCTGTGCGTGCCCTCATCGTTGCCGTCCACCTCCTGTGCTGATCTATTGCAAAACCCCGCAAAGTACCTGGCGATCTTCGCGTGGATGCTCTTTGCATACCTCACCCACCGCATCAAGTGGCGCTCTCGCTACTCGCTTGTCTTCTTCCACGTCACCGTCCGCCTCGCCTCGCAGGCATGCGGGATCGCATTTGGCATCCTCGGGTTCTCGAACACGAGTGTGTTTCTGGCATTCCTCATTCTCGGCGCAGAAGGGTATTTTTCGTTGGTGGGCTCGCTTCCTGATCTGGACATGCACGATTCGCACTGATTCACAGCCCCCCACCGAAGGTGCTCTGCGCGTTCCGCTTCGTCGTGTCCTGGCACCAACACAATCTCTCCAGTGGCGAATCTTGGCTCGAGCCCCGCGATCCGCCCAACACGAACAAATGGCGCAAGGGCCTCATCTTCACGCTCCTCGGACCGCTCGCGTTCGTCGTCTACGGCGACCACCCGATGGTCTTCTTCCACTCCGCGCTCGTCGCCGCCAACGTCGCCATCATCGTCGGTGGCTCATACCTCGCCGGCGTCGACTACACCGACCTGAACTCGGCCGACGCACGCCACAGGATGCTCGTGTCGCGCATCACGCGCACCACCGGCCAGAGTGTGTTCCTCGCAGCCAACACGCTGTTGCTCGCCGTGGTCCTGGTCACGATGCGGAACAACCGCCGGGAGGGGGACGCTCGCCGCCGGCCTGGGACCGTCCATCCAACCCTGGTGCTGCTTCTCCTTGCGTGGTCCCCGCTCATCGTTCGCGGCATATTCGGAATCCTGCAGGCTTGCGTGTGGAGCGTGAGTGACAGAGCGCTGTGTTCTCAAACTACCGCTGACTTTCGATCTTGCGGCAGTTGTCGTATTACAACCGTCTGTGACTTTCTAGACCAAACAACGTGCGACGCTGATCACCGCACAGCGAGCAACTATGACGCGGGAGGTTTCACGCCCCGATTCACGGCGATTGAATATGTTCTGGGAGTGTTCACGGAATGGCTAGCGTGAGTGTTCTCTGCGATACGGACGGCGGCGGTTGCCTAACAGTCCATCTAGCTGCGTGCTGCTCAATGTGACGTATTACACTTCCAAGAACGATCCTCTCAAGCCCAACATGGATGGCGAGAGGGAGAGAGAGTGGATCGGCCTGAAGGCAGGAAGTGCATAGATCTTGGCCCGCTTCCCGTTCTCCTAACTCGTATGGTCATGCATACGTCGTGCTGATCGTCCACAAATGCTCCTCGTCTCATACTCCCTTAATTTCTCTGTCACAACTTATTATGACTTTCGTAAGCATCCTGAGAGCAGATGTTGAAGCCTTTTCGGTCGGAGTAAGCGCACCCCAGCTGCCACCGCCATCATTACGTGCGACGTCTATGGGTACCCAGTAAGTAATGAATTGGAGCTCCCTGGGGTGGTGCTCGTCACGGGGATTCATGATCAGTAACAGTCTGGATCTCTGTCATAGGTCATTCCTGAGATTTGAGTTCTTACATATCTCTCTACCTGAAATGGAATCCATTGACAAACATGAAACGCCCAGTCATCTCGCTACAGTCTGAGAATGTAGATTCTAGATGATAGCTTCTAATGAGGCTCTTTGATCTACATTCTCGCTGCTCTCGCGAATTGTCCTTGCAGTGATCTAGAGCGTAGAATGTCGAAAATCCTCTCCGCGAGTGCTGTTGGGTGGGTTTGCACGATCTGCCCAGTGTCAGACTCTTGCATAATAGCGGTGAGGGCAGGTCACTCACTAAATGTGCGGCTCCAGGGATGGAATGGATCGATTCAAACTTTTCGCTCCCTCCAGCCTGCGCGATGAAGCTATCCTTGGATTCTAATGATCTGTTTAGACGGTCAGGATTTTGCCACCCTTGTATGCAAGAGGTTATCTACAGAATATCGTTTTTGGTCCCGTAGATTAGATGCAAGGGATGGCGTGTGGTGACGGTTTGTATACTGTTCCAGATATAGATTATCCCGCTGAGATCTCTGCTTATGGACTGCGGGACAAATGTATTTATTTGAGATGGTTGCATAAAATCGGAAAGCTTACCTCTTCTTGTTCGATTGTGCACGTAAGAGTGACACCGGACGCTATCGAAGGGTATTTCAGCGTGGGAAGTGGTCTCAATCCATATGCCTGCGCTGGGGTTTAGCGCCAATAAGTGGCCTTCGGGACCCGCTCACGAGGTAAAGATCCAGTATACGAGGATCCCATTTTTCCCACATCTTTCGTTTTTTCATAAACCGTGAGGCACTCGCACGAGAGCTCCATCTGTCTCTACGCGTGTGCGAGCCCTGTGCCAGTTGATCGGTCACCTCCTTCATCATTGCGGGGTCTCCGGCGACAAGTTCCACGAGGATGGCGCAGATAGGCGTGATCCTCGGCGTGCTGTACGTCAGCAAAATAGCTCTGTTTCGTTGAGCTATCGTCTCTCGTCCGCAAAGAGACTCCACACATTGCCATGGCGCCCATCGAATGCCCGACCAGCACTACGTTGCGCTGTGAGAAGTCGACGCCGACGCCGGGATTGGGCAGCGTCAGAAAGGCATAGAGGGCTTGTGCATACTTTCTCGCGCCATCTATATGGTTTGTCAGCTTTCGATCCACGACCCGGATCAGTTTCACGCACCGTCCGTTCCGCCCTGTCGATGGAAGAGCGCCTCGTTCAACAACGCCGCCTGTCCATGGGACGGATGGTCCAACGCCCAAATTTCCCGAATCGACACACTCTGGCTTTCTGCCTGGTTGGTCACTAGGCGGAGCAATTCGTCGATGGTGGGCTCGAAGTGCTCCTTATGGAACCCAGACCCGTGTGTGAGCACCAGCGTCAAGCCGCTTGAGTCGTCTTCAGACCCCGACTGGTTCGCTAATGGAAAGCGGTAGCAGCTGGCCGTGAGCCGGTATTGATATCGAGGGCGAGCGTCGAATAGGTGTTTCGTGATGTGGAAAGAGGGATCCATGGGGCTGGCAAGAAGGAATCTGTACTACTCCTCTTTGCTACTTGTTAAGTATGTGGCCACTTTGTCAACTGTCGAGCTGCTGACGTTTCTTTCCACATGGTGCGAAGTCCCCGTTTGGGTCTTCGTTTGGGCAACGAACAGAACTCGGAAATCGGAACTTGAAGCTTCTCGGTTGCTTTCACAGATTCAGTGCAGATAAGTCATGATGGGCTCACTCACCAGCTCCGAAAAAGCGATCTAGTGCGAGGGGCTCGAGAGAGTAATGCCGCATCGATCGAACATTGTATCTGCCAAGGTCCTCATGATTGCCCATAATGCGTCTTGTTCCGCGATCTGTCCCCTTGCGAGGCCGGTGGGTATCTGTCCCCACACGTCAGTGCCGAGCTTTGATAACATGGAACACAACGAGAGGTTTAGAGCGTCGAACCGATGTAGCCAGCCCTATTCTGCACCTGCGACCAGAGAAAAAGCTAAACAAGGCATTCGATGTTGATGAGGACTTGAAGCCGTTTTTCTCCTGTGATTGTTCGCTTCCAGATCGCGGAAGAGAGGAGTTGGTGACATCATGATTGTTCCATCAATCGGAACTTGTGCAAGGCAAGCTGAGATCCCCGTAGCTTCCACTGAACATGATGATTCGGCAGAAAGATTACACTCGCCCCATGTTCTTGAAATGTCCGCGCAGGTGCTACTCGATAAAAGATACGGTAGTAGAATTTCCGATTGCCTCGTCATTGCCTACCAAAGATGAAATATGCAATTTGTTGATCCCTTGACACAACCTCGACCGTGAGAGCCAGCGTGAACGAAGGCTAAGGCGCATTAGGATCCACGATTGGACTCAGCGAGCTTTGGAAGACAGTCATCCCCTGCGAACAGACTTCCAAGTTGCGATACTGGCCAACCCTGGCTGCTCAAAGACCGAGCCACACAACAATGTCCACTGCAGATTTCCTCCGGTCGGCCCTATATGCTGGAATCCCCGGATCCGTCGCATCCGTCCGTCATCGCCACACGCAAGCGTGTGCGCACATTCCGGAGAGTCGGGGCTGCGATGTCCTGAGATTCACCAGGCTATCCGATTCCGCCGCACAGAGAGCAGATCCTTCAGATAACCTGGCTGTAACAGCATATACGTGTCGAGTATAGTGATAGTAAGTATCAGTGGGGAGAACGGGCGAGCACCATATCAGAATGCTTCCGAGCAGCAAACATCAGCAATCAAGCATAGCGATCGTGATACGTGACACTCCTCCTCTCGACGGTGACTCGACGGAATCGGTGCCAGTATCTCAACACACGCGTCGAATTCACGCGTCGAGAGCGCCAATGACGAAAACTGGCAACTACCGCCCACCTGAACCTGCTTATAAGGACTGTGCGCTGCTACTCCGAGACAAACTCCTCCCCGCGCTGCCCATCGTCGTGATGAAGTTCATTACTTCCGGTAAGTCGATCAGTGATAAATGATGCAACTCCGGCGCCGAGACCTAGTCATCTTGAGCTGCCCGCTGGCCCGCAGCAGGGCAGAAGGAACTCAGGTGACACACGCTGCGCCATTGGCGACTTATAAACGGTAATCAAGACATTCATACTTCCAGTGTCCCTTACTCATGAGCTCCGATCTAGCTTCATCCTCTTATTGCCACGTCCTTCCAAACGGGCTGGTCTTGCGATGGTCCACGGCCGCGGACAAGGCAGGCTGCGTGCTTACCTCGTGCCTTGGTCTTCAGCAGCAGGAGGGGCAAGAGACGGAGAGGGGCATCAAGTTCATCGAGCCGCTCACAGACGATTCGGTATACAACGGAAGCTCGTGGGTCTTTGTCCTGCACATCGAGTGCATATACTGAGGAGCAAGCAGAACGAATTGGGCGATATGCGTTGACCCAGCGGCACCGACAACTTCGGCAGAAGAGGCAGACAGCGCGGACTACCCTGCGCAGATGCGACGATTGGCCCGGTCCGCGACAGAGCGCGTTGTCGCACTGCTGTACTACCTACCGGGCACAATCGCTTTCGACGGCGGTCTCGCCACCCTCCAACTCGGGCAGGTCCACGTCGTCGCGTGCAAGCCCGCCTACCGGGTGCACGGGGAGAAGAGCGGCGGGGCGCACATCATGCAGATGCTGTTCGACATGGTGAATGCGCGAGCCATGCGGGATGGGTGCGCGTGCATGCTTGTTTCGGGCATTCCTGCCTACTGTGAGTCCTGCACGATGGCATATCATGCGGCACAGACTGACGATGGTAGACCGGACACAGGGGTACGAGTATGGATTGAGATTGGGTAGTGGCTTGGTCACACACCCGTCCGCGCTCTCTCCGCCCAAATCTGCCGACGCCGGCCGATACGCACTGCGCCAGGGCACCCAAAACGACGTGTCCGACCTGCTCAAGATGGCCCTCACCTCGCGGGAGACAGCGGATCTGTTCTTCAGCCGCAAAGACGACGCTGCACTACGGCTCCAGCTGGAACACCTCGTCGCCTCCGATACTGCTCCGTTCTTTGTTCTCGAAACCACGAGCCAGGTCGACGAGACTCCGCACATCGTCGCCGCGGTCGGAGTGGTACATCACAATCCCGGTGGGACGCGCGCTTTCATGCATCCGCTGCTGTCGGACGGGGAGGAGGATGCGTGTGCTGTGACAGCGGCACTGGTCCCATTGCTTGGCCCCGCACTCGAGGAGGCTGCGAGGAAGATCGTCAGTGAAGTCAAGACGATCACCACGCTGCGCTGGTTGGTGCCGGATGCTCATCCGCTGTTTCGATGGCTGTTGGCCAACCAGGTCGCCATCACTCCACCGGATAATTCTGAATATGATCATATGAGTGTCTCGTGGGTCCTCTTTCCAGTCGTTTGTACATGCAGGTGTTGAGGCAACCACACTCACAGATGGATCGCGATCCCCGAGTTTACGTCGTTCTTCCAGGCGTTGCTGCCGGCCCTGAATGCTCGACTGGCACGAGCGCCGTTTGGCAAGAACTACAGTGCAGTGCTCCGTATCAAGGCATCCGCATCAGGGGCTGGGGCAATTGCTTTGCGTGTCTCGCACGGCACAGTGAGTATCGATCCGACCCCGTCGAGGGAAGGTGCGTTCTGCATTTGACTAGTTTGACTTGCGAGCTGACGAGCCTGGGACAGTAGAGCCGAATGTGATGATGCCACGAGCCGCCCTGATTCAGCTTTGCATGGGATACCTGGAGTGGCGAGAACTGAAAGCCGTATTTTCAGACTTCTCAGTGGAGGGAGGGGTGCTGCCGCTGGTAGAGGTGCTGTTCCCTAAACGGAGCTTAGGATCCGTTGTAAACTGGTAATGCATGCGAACGGGATCGACGGTTCATGCGTCATGCTCGCAAGCGACGCGGCTGTTGCTGCTTACTGTCAAATCACCTAACTGGGGATTGTTCTTCTGGTAAAGAGTACCTGCGGCATGGATTGTCCGCCATGAATCAAGCAAACGCCGCTCATCGTTTGATATTATGCACGAGAGCTTACTACAGTCCGTGCGGTAGCCTTCCGGGATCTGATGACAGACCCCGTGTTTCGCCGATGGAGAAATTGATCACCACTGTGTCGTGTGGTTTTCGCTCCCTTCGATTCGAGCCGGGCCTTGACGTGGATGTGACCGTATTCAATCGTTATACCGACGACGACATGCATATCTCTTGAGACTCGCCACTGGAGGATGGAATTACAAGACCCAGCACTCCCTCTCTTCTGTCATATCATTTCAAGCGTGTAAAGAAGCGACAAAGAAGCATCAGATTTCTGCCAGGCCACTCGTCCGGAACGCGACCGCCCTTCTCACAAACCGGAGCCTGCCCAGCATCCGAATGACAGTGAAGACGACCCATCGCACAGGGGCCCACATCTTGCGGGGCGAGCTGATCAAACCCATCCCGTGTTCCGTCAACTTGATCACCTCCAGCGCACGCTCGTGTCTCCATCGAGCCCACTCCAACAGCCCGCTATCGTTCTCCGGCGCGCCGAGATGAGCGCTCAGCACGGGTCCCAGGCTGATGGAGTCACGCAGGCCGAGACTCATGCCCTGCCCACCAAGGGGACTGTGGATGTGCGCCGCATCGCCGATGAGGAGGACGACGCCTCCGCCAGGGAAGCGCATGAAGTGGCGATCGGAGATGGCAGAGCGCGTCTTGTAGCGCGACGACCAGTGCACAGTTTCGATTTGGGAGCCTTGCAGAGGCCCGGGAGCCATGCGGTCGAACATCTTCTGCAGGTATTCGAGATCAGGCGAGTGCGGCACCGCACCCATCTGCTCAGGGATCCCACTGGCGATGCGGTACACCGGTTTGGTGGCGTTGGGGTACGCTCCGTCGGGGAACTGGGCGATGAGCATGACATTGAAGTTGGCGATGCGGAGCATGATGCGAGGTGCGGTCGAGGGGAGAGGCGCGGAGAAGGACACATCACCCAGCGCCATCTGCGAGAGGTCCCCAAAGTCGCGTGGACCATCGCCCTGCGGGTCTTTGAATCCGATTCCAGCATGGTGTCTGACCTTCCGAACAATAAGAGGGCGATTCAGAATGCGCGCCTGGAGACACGCACCACAGATTGAGCTCCATCTGCACCGATGACGTACTTCGCCTTAATGACTTCCCCGGACTCGAATGAGACCTCGAGCATCCCAGAATCGTCGGTACATTCCTTGACCGAAGCGACTCTGAGCGGGCGAAAGACGTGGATCCCGAGTTCTGTCAACTTGGCCAGCATTGCGCGCTCTGTGCGAGATTGAGGGATGAGGAGACCAAATGGGAACTTGGTCTTGTCTGCAAGCAACGAGAAGTCGGCAGTAAGCAGATAAGAAGGTCCTTCGTGCATGCCGAGGCTCCCGAGCTGCACGCCAAGGGGTAGGATGATATCCATGCACTCGATTTTGTCCAGGGCCTATTTGTCTTTCGGTCAAATGCAGCAGACGGAATCAAGACACCAAAACGTACTTCGAGAGTCGCTGCGTGGATCACCATGGCGCGCGAGGCATTCTCGCCAGGCTCAATGGCGTCGACGATCACCACATCCCGAATGCCTTGATGGTACAAAGAAAGCGCTGCCGCCATCCCGCATGGCCCAGCGCCGACGATAAGAATTGGAGTCTCAGCTGGCAAGGACATTCCGACGAGTACTTCATCCGAGAGACACGCTGTCAGGTTCTTATGGAGGGTTCGAAGCAGGCAACATGGCTAAACGGCAGACTCAGTTGCGTAAAAGCGCACGACAAGCTCATGAGAAGACACCAAGGAGCCGTGCTGATGGCCAGCTCGAACCGCACGTCTGCTGCTGTTGATCCTTCGACAACAAAAGCAGGCATGGAAAACACAAAAGTGGGAAGGCGGGATCCCGCTGCCGCTGCTGCCGGACTACGGCTAGCAACGGCCAGCAGTCTCATGAGTCATGTCTGCAAACAGGTGATGTCATTCGGTCTTTCTTACCAACTTCTTGCCTTTATACCACTCTGTAACCTTGATTTTGCTGCTGGAGCTGGTCTGGCATGTCATGGATGATGACCATAGAGCGAAGGGTCTCGCAGTATCTCTTGATCAATCCTGAGTGTCACGTGATACACCACCTTGTGTGTGTTTACCCGAAGGGAATTAGTACAAGCCAGTTTAAAGTCAGCATTCACTGCGGGAGGACTTTTTTTTCCGTTCGAAACGCGTAACAATCTAGAAGTCCGATTTTCACCGTTCTGTTTCCAGATGAAAAATATATATTGAATAGACGTTGATTTACAGCTCGATTCTTACCATGAATAGACATCTTTTCCCCCTAAAAACAGAACTGTAAAGAAATCATCTTTTTTTGAATCAATTCTCATTGGGAATAGACGTAAATTTCCATTGAAAATAGAAACAAAAAAAAAGATGATATTTTTTCACTGAAGACAGATTGAAACTACTAGGAGAATCTGTGGATTCTGGCTCCAATTTGCATCCTTGGCCTAGCAAAAGGCTACTGAATGTTACTCACAACCTTGTCACAACCGTGCTGTGACAATCAATAAAAATAATGTTGAAAAGAGAAGTCAATTCAAAGACTGGGGAATAGAGAGATTGTGATAGCTGCCAAATGCCACCCAGTGGCTGATTTGCCCTGTGATGCCACCGAATGCCCCACTTTCTGGCAGCTCCATCATGACACACATTCAAGCTCTTTGTCTTGTTCTACGTACTTGATGCCTGTTCAGACTCAACAAAAGGACTGCCACTATGCACAGAACAGATGCCCCCAGGCCAAAACACAATATCAATGATCCACGGTCAGATGCAGAAGTCGGGAACAAGGATGGTGTCAAGGACAATGAAGGGCAGAACACGGGCAGTGCAGAAAGCAAAGACGACAAGGAGGCTGAGTATAAGGATGAAGGGAATGATGCAGACATGGAGAGGGAGGAACTAATGGCTGGAAAGTGTGTACCTTTCTCTGCTGTCTGTTTAGACAGGGCTAACTGCTGTCAGGGGAACCCCCACTTTGGACCAATCAGCCTGGGATCTAGCATGTGATTGTGCTCGTGTGACCTGTCAGCGGCCACACGCAGCAGCCTGGACCACTGCGTCAAGTGCTTCTCTTTGATGGCAGGTGGTGCCATTGTTCCTATTGTCTCCATTTCTTATTGTACTTAATGTGCCTATTGTTCTTGTTTGTTGCTGCATGGTCTATTGTTCCTGTATCATATAAATAGTGGCGCCTGGCAAGGAGAATCCCCAACACGGTTTCCCTTTGGATTCTCCCTTGCCAGGTAGGCCGGTCTTGTACCTAGCTACCACTGTAGTTCACCTTTGGATTCTCCCTTGCCAGAACTCTGAGATTGGGTCTTGAGGTTACCCTTACAACTTCCATGGAAAGCGCTCAAGTCAAGAACGGACACTCTCTGGTGTGGCTGCCTTGGCAAGATTGTCTCCTTATCATGCAGCTGAATGTTGATTGCCCATTTTTCCAACCCCACAAACAGTGTAGCAAGGCCTGGGAGCAGCTTGCTGAAACTATTTCCTACATTGCTATGAGTTCAGGGACTGAGATCTTTTTGCGCAATGGTGAAGCATGTAAGAAAAGGTTTGGACTACTGTGTAAGAAGTATCATGTATGTTCTCTCTTCCAATCACTGGAGTGCACTCATACTTACTACATCTTTGTCTGTAGGCAGACAAAGCTCGCACTCTGCAGCTCACTAGCACAGACCAGGAGGTCAATGACTTCATGGAGGTGCATGTCTGTGAATGGCTTGCCCTTTGTTGCTCACTGTCTGTGAAGACTCTCAGTGATTTGGCACACTTGGCAGACACAGAGAAGGCCAATCCCTGACAAACAAAATCAGCAGCAAAGCGTGGTGATGTGCAGAATACGGTGAGTCAACAGCTTGGTGATGCGTCAATGCAGAGCCTGGTCTACGGAAGTTCCCTTGCTGATGTTGCTTTGCTGGAAGGTGCAACAGTTTGAGAGCGCCAGGGTCAACATCCTGTCAAGTGAGTCTATCTCTTGACCTTGTGAAACATTGCTTATATATTTTGACTGGGGCAGACAGAAGCACAACAATGAAAACTGTGCACCAGCGTCCCAATCCAGAAGATCAAATGCAACCAGTAAACAACAACACAAGGGGAAGGCAGTTCTCAAAGACATGCTCAACTCACATTGGGAGGAGGAACAACACGCTCTAGATGTAAGGGCAACCTCGCTGTCATAGTTCGGCCACTTTTTCATCTTATCATCGACGATCTTATCTTATCTTGGCACGACCTTTCTTATCACGGATCACGGCATCAGACGGTCCAGACTAGGGGTTCCAGGAATTATCTTCATCGATTCGAGACTGCGCGACATATGCTCCGGAAGGTTCTACCACGACCCATGACCAGCGTTCCATGCGGTACATAGCCCTATGACTCATTAAGTTGTAGATATGACTCAGACTGGATTTGGGTATAAATACTGTAGCTACTTGGTTGTATTCTCCAGTCTTCGAATTCACTTCTCTTTTCGACTTTGTTTTTGGGTTGATTGTCACATAATTCAAAGACTCCCCTCATACCCTCCTACCTCATACCTCTTACCCTGCATCCTGCACCGCTACGCCCGCTATATCCTCTTAACCCTTATCACCCCACTCACCCTTTTACCGAATCATCTAGTCGTCCTCCACTATCGCAGTGAAGGGTTCATATCAAGCAAACAGCACCAGGCCACGGGTAACGTTGAGCCCGACCCAAGCCTTACGGTAGCTACAAGGAGTGCTGCAGAGACCTTTGGGAAAACGCACCTCGGGATCATCGGGCACGTGAAGAGCTAGGCCCGGGATCTTTTTGCTAGCAAAAGAACCCTCCCTGTGACAATCAACCCAAAAACAAAGTCGAAAAGAGAAGTGAATTCGAAGACTGGAGAATACAACCAAGTAGCTACAGTATTTATACCCAAATCCAGTCTGAGTCATATCTACAACTAATGAGTCATAGGGCTATGTACCGCATGGAACACTGGTCATGGGTTGTAGTAGAACCTTCCGGAGCATATGTCGCGCAGCCTTGAATCGATAAAGATGACCCCTATCCCCCTAGTCCGGACCGTCAGATGCCGTGATCCATGAAAAGATAATCCGTGTCGAGATAAGATAAGATCGTCGAAGATAAGATGAAAAAGAGTCGAATTATGACACTCCCTCGAGTGCTTGTACAGCACACGATTCCACCATTTCGTACCGATTCCCATTGTCGTCTGGGAGTCCGTCCCCTCCCCCCATCGTACCATCGTCGCCCGATCTGGCGCATCAAAACCCACCCGGGCCCTCCAACCCCTACCTCGCCCTCCCACCGCCTGAAGACAAGATCCCCGACCTCGACGAACTGCCCTCCGAACAACCACCCTCGCCCCCACCTCACACGCCTGCTCCTACCATGTCAGGGCATCACCGCATCACCCTCGCCGCCAACCCCCCGTACTTCAATGGCAACAAGTCCAAGTACCTGGGCTTTGTGGACGCGTGCACCACTTACATTGGTGCCTATCGATCGGAGTTCTCACTGGATGAAACAAAAATCCTCTTCGTTCTCTCCTACCTCCGTAATGAGACCGGCACAAGCTGCGCCGCCTCGAGATGGGCAATGAACTGGAAGCAGCCCAACTTTGAGGGCTTCCAAGGACTAAAGACGAGAGTCACCACGAAGAACTTCCTGGAGGAGCTTCAGAGGGCCTTTGGAGACTCCAACGCGGAACAAGTTGCCGCTGCTCGACTCATGGCTCTGCGCCAGAATAGGTGATCCTTTGCGGATTATATCTCCGACTTTGAGATGTTGGCCGCGGAGGCAGGCTACAATGTGGTCGACACCACCGACGACAAAGGCGAATACAAGAAGGGGGACCAGGATAATATCCTCATCGAGTTCCTGGAGCGCGGACTCAGCAGCGAGATTGCCAGCCGTCTCTACAACACCGGTGTCCCTCTGCCCAAGGCCTATGGAGCGTTCAAAGCCTGGTGCATCAACATCGAAGCCAATGCTCTGCGTGACCAGCTGCGCAAAGCGTCGTATGGGCACCCCACACAACGACCACCTCCCCAGTTCTGTCCCCAAGCGGCACCAGTGGCGCCCACACCCGCTCCGGCCCGACCCGCTGCCAACGAACCGGTTCTGATGGAAATCGATTGTACCCACGCCCGCGGCTGCAATATCATCTGCTACAACTGTCAACAGCCTGGGCACATTGCGCGGAACTGTCCGGAGCCAAGAAAGAAGCGCACATTTTTCAATTGGGCCACAATGCTTGAAGAGATCGAGAACGGGGACAAGGACAACGAGTTCCTCAAGGAGATCGCCGAGAAGCTGTGTGAGCAGGGTTTTTGAAACGCTCCACTCCTCTAGCCAAGGAGGTGGAGCGTCCGGACTATGGACGATTTTCTGTGCTTGTTTCGATTAAGGACATGAACGATCCTACACATACATACACGATCTCGGACTCACTACGTACCAATATTCACGATTTTCTCATTGCCGATATGGAAAAAGAACGACAAAGAAAAATAGCTTTAAATAGAGAGTATTTACAGAGTAAAAAGGATCAGAAGGTTGCAGATAAATTAATTTTGGACTCCTACGTATTTATGGCTCGTGGAGAAGGAACCACGTCAACAAAGACCGAAAAGGGGAGCATTGCTCCGGAGGCTCGATCCTTGGAAAAGGAGGAAGCGCCCAAGGAATCTGCCGAAATCAAGGTTCCAGAAGCACCCAAACACACCAGGGTGCCAGATGCCGTCCAGAGGAAATTGGCAGCCGAGAAACAGAAGGGCCCCCAGCCCAGCAAGTTGGTGCAGGAATTGCGCAGTTACCAGGCTGAGAGGAAGAGGCATTCGATGGACGTATATGTCCAGATCACGGGTCTGGACTCAGGGAAAACGCGCGGAGTCAAGGCGCTACTCGATAGCGGTTGCAGTACCTGCTGCATCGATACCGACTACGCCCGGGCAGAAAAGCTGGACATCCAAGAGCTTCTGCAGCCCATCGTGGCTCGTAACGCCAACAACACCGAGAACATCAGCGGTCGGATCACGCATTACGTCGACCTTAGGATGAAAATCGGTCCTCATGTGGAGACACGCACGTTCCTCCTGACATGTTTGGGAAAAGCTCGGATCTTCATCGGTCTTGATTGGCTGACGGAACACAACCCCGAGGTGGATTGGCAGGAGCAGACCATGAAATTTAGTCGATGCCCAGAGTGGTGTCACATGAGGGGTCACGAGGAACACCAAGCAATGATTGACATGGATGCAATCGACCTGGACACGAGCGCACCGGATCTGGAAGAGGGAGAATCAATCCTGTTGGTCGACTTCGGGAAAGAAGTGGATCTACGGCTGAAGGAAACACCGGCACAGAAATTCGCAGAAGAAGCGGAGAGGGAGAAGGAGAGAATGACCGAGGGAAAGATTCCGGATCAATACCGGGAATTTGTCAAAGTATTTGCCAAGGAATCGTTCGACTCACTACCGGACCGACGGACATGGGATCATGCAATCGAGCTCAAACCTGGTTCCAAGGCAGTGGATTGCAAGGTGTACCCATTATCACGAAACGAACAGGTCAAACTCGACGAGTTCTTACAAGAGAACCTGGTCAGCGGACGGATCAGGCCATCGAAATCACCCATGGCTTCAGCATTCTTCTTTGTGAAGAAGAAAGATGGCTCCTTACGTCCCGTCCAAGATTACCGGAAGCTCAATGAAATGACGATCCGAAACCGATACCCGCTGCCACTGATCTCCGAACTGGTCCATAATCTATGCGGTGCAAAGTTCTTCACCAAGCTCGACATCCGGTGGGGATACAACAACATACGGATCAAAGAGGGTGACGAGTGGAAGGCCGCATTCCGCACGAACCGTGGGCTGTACAAGCCCTTGGTCATGTTCTTCGGTCTCACCAACTCCCCGGCAACCTTTCAAAACATGATGAACGACATACTCCGAGAACTGATCAACGAGGGTCACGTGGTAGTTTATCTTGATGATATACCGATCTTCACAGAAAACTTGGACGAACACCGACAGATCACGAAGCGAGTACTCGAATTGCTCCAAAAACACAAGCTATACCTGAAACCCGAAAAGTGCGAGTTTGAACGCACAGAAATCGAATACCTGGGTGTAATTATTGGACACAATTCGATGCGGATGGACCCAGTCAAGATCAAGGGCGTGATGGAATGGCCGGAACCAAAGAGCGTCAAACAAGTCCAAGCATTTCTAGGGTTCACAAACTTCTACCGACACTTTGTCCGGGGATATGTGGAGGTTGCGAAGCTGTTGACACGGCTGACAGGGAAGGCAGGATGGTCATGGGGTACAGACGAGCACGCGGCATTTGAGGGATTGAAGAAGAGAATCGCGGAGGATGCGGTCCTAGCACTGCCAAATGACACCAGCCAATATCGTCTGGAAGCCAATGCTTCGGAAGGGGCAACAGGCTCCGTTTTGAGCCAAAACCAAGATGGCATTTGGTGCCCAATCGCATTTATTTTGCACGCATTGACCGAAACCGAGCGAAATTACGAGATCTACGACAAGGAAATGCTCGCAATCATGCTATCATTGGACGAATGGAGGCAGTTACTACTGGGAGCCACAGAAACATTCGAGATCTTCACCAATCATCAGAACCTCGAGTACTTCCGGAAGCCGCAGAAACTCAACCGACGGCAGGCACGATGGATCACGGAGTTGGCGGAGTTTGATTTCACCTTACGACACCGGCCCGGCGCACTCAACCGCAAGGCGGATCTCCTGTCTCAACAAGCGGATCACAATCAGGGCAAGAACGACAACAAGGACATCACGTTGCTGAAGCCCGAGTTCTTCCGATCACAAGAAGTCACATTCCAAGGGCAAGACCAGCAGCTAATCGATGAGATCAAGGCCATCCGATCGATGGAAGGAAGCATCAAGGCGGCCTTAGAGAAGTCACTCGCTGGATGGAAAAAGGAAGACGGACTCATCACGTACCATGGGAGGCTCTATGTACCAAGAGACGAGGAGTTGCGGGACAAGATCATCGGACTGCACCACGACACGCCTTTGGTCGGACACGCTGGAATCAACCAAACACAGGAGATGGTGGAAAGGAACTACTGGTGGCCAAGGATGGGAAACCAGATTCGGAAGTACATCCAGACGTGCGAGGCGTGCCAACGGACCAAGACCAGGAGAGCCAGGACGGGGACTCTGCACCTGCATGCAGTCCCAAATGCGCCGTGGGAAATCATCTCAATGGATCAAATTGGACCCTTACCAGTCAGTAATGGGTATGACGCAATTCATGTGTGGTGTGACACCTTCACCAAAATGATCCATGTCGAACCAATTAGTACTGACATCAGCAGTGAAGGAGTTGCACGGTTAACCAGGGATCGAGTCTTCCGCTACCATGGGATCCCCTGCAAGATCATCACCGACAGGGATTCGCGTTACATCAAGGGCTTTATGAAGGAGACAAATCGGATGTTGGGCGTGGAAATGAACCCGGGGACCGCATATCACCTGATCACGGATGGACAGACAGAACGCATGAATCAGGAGATCGAACACTATCTCCGCATCTACGTCAACTACCATCAGACGGACTGGTCGGAGTGGCTGGGAATGGCGGAGTTCGCATACAATGACAAAATGAACACGTCCACCAAAGTATCGCCATTCTACGCGAATCACGGATATCACCCATGGAAGGGAGTGGAGCAGCGGATGGAATCAAGGAACGAGTCAGCGGAGGAATTTGTAAAAAGAATCAAAAGAATACAAGACGAAGCAAAAGCAGCATTGGAAAAAGCAAAAGAAAAAATGAAAAAATACTACAATAAACAAAGAAAAGAAGTTCCGGAGTTGAAGGTTGGGATGAAGGTGTACATAGAAGGGGAGAACATCGAGACGGATAGACCATCAAAGAAGATGAGCGACAAGAGATTAGGGCCATACGAGATACTGGAGAAGGTTGGAGCAGCTGCATGGAAACTGGATTTGCCGGACACGGACCGAAGACACCCGGTGTTCAATGAGTCACTGTTGACACCCTATCGCGAACCACCCCCCCCATCGCCGAGAGAAGAGACCTGTAGCCAAGATGATCGGAGGAGCAGAAGAGTGGGAAGTCGAAGAGATCGTGAAGGAGCGAAACGTTGGCCGAGGAAAACAGTACTTGGTCAAATGGAAGGGATGGCCGCATAGCGAGAACACCTGGGAGCCATCACGTCACCTTACCCACGCGAAGAAGGTCCTGAGAGATTGGCAGAGAAAACAATCAAACCCAGACACACACATTTGCCTCTTGCCAACGCTCGAAGCTGGACATTGGGACTATCTGATTCATCGCTACAAACCCAAAAACGAGCGCCTTCCATATCCCCAACGACAGCTCTTTGACCCTTACGAGAACGTCTTCCTACCCATTGGCCTAGTCGATGAGGACATCGACCCTAGAGAGGGGGTAATGTCATAGTTCGGCCACTTTTTCATCTTATCATCAACAATCTTATCTTATCTTGGCACGACCTTTCTTATCACGGATCACGGCATCAGACGGTCCAGACTAGGGGTTCCAGGAATTATCTTCATCGATTCGAGACTGCGCGACATATGCTCCGGAAGGTTCTACCACGACCCATGACCAGCGTTCCATGCGGTACATAGCCCTATGACTCATTAAGTTGTAGATATGACTCAGACTGGATTTGGGTATAAATACTGTAGCTACTTGGTTGTATTCTCCAGTCTTCGAATTCACTTCTCTTTTCGACTTTGTTTTTGGGTTGATTGTCACACTCGCGGCCTGATCTCAGAGTCCTGACAAGGGAGAGTCCAAAGTGTCAGATAAGGGAATCTGACTAGTACAGGAGGCTGGCAAACCTGACAAGGGAGAGTCCAAAGAGAAACCGAGTTGGGGACTCTCCTTGTCAGGGCCCACTATATATAGCCTAAGAACAATTGATGACCAAGCACAATGGGAAGCACCAGACAATGGGGCCAGGGAACAATGAGGGGCCGGATCAGGGAGAACAATGGGAGCCGGACCATTGGAACAATGGGGGTCTGGGTCAGAGGGTCATGTGGACGTGCTTGGCAGGGAAGTCAGGGCCAAAGCATATGACACTTGACAGATGACGCGTGCCCGGTCACATGTGAGATCCCACGATGATTGGATGAAAGTGGGGGTGAATTGCCAATTTTGGACACAATTTTGGAGGCTCCTTGTCTCAATTCAGTTTACTCATAGCTCCACTAAACAGATTTCAGTGAGCAAAAAATGCTCCACAACAAGATTCTTCTTAGAAAAACTCGTTTTCAGCTTCTGCTGGACAGCTCTATTTCAGGTGGCTCAGTACAACAAATTACCATATTAGATAAGCAAAAGGAGAAGCAAAAGCACAAAGCCAAAGCCCTTTTCATGGCTAAACAGGTTCTAAGACCCTCAACCAGCATTCCACATGATACATATTCTCATGACCCATTAGTTGTAGATATGACTCAGACCAGACTTTAATATAAATATTGTAGCTATTGTGTTGTATTCCCCAATCTTGGAGTTCACTTCTCTTATTGACTTTTGTTCTGAGTTGATTGTTACACCTTACAGCAACAGAAAGTAGATACAGGCTAATTCTCTCCCTCTTCTTCCATTTTTCTCCTTCATTGATTTTTTAATTCTTTTGATGTCCTCCACAGACATCAGCCCATGAGTCCAAGAACATGACATGGAGGTGGGAAATTTGAACAATCCAATTGAGCAACCAAGAAGAATATACCATCATGAAGTGAGTGTGAAGTGTGTTATGTCAGCATAATGAAATCCCCTGCATTCAAGCAATTTTTCGTAGAGAGAAAGTTGAGAGTTGGACACAGTTCTCAATACATTAAATGGCAGAAAAAAGTGTAATCAAAGAAAGCAACCGTGTTGAATATATATATCAAAACAAAAGAAAGATCTCAATGACGCCAAATCTGCGGGTTCGAGTTGATAAAAGCGATTTGCTCTGCACACAGATTGAACATCACATCAATTGATTCGAATGGAGAAGGCACTTACCCTCGCGATACGTGTCAGGAATCATGGTCACATTGTCACCGTTCAGTTGGAGGAGAGACTAGGGAGAATCGAATTGATGAGATCCAAACTTTGACAATTGCTCAACGATTTACCTTCGCGGTCGGCGTGAATTGTTTCCATTCCGCACGCTGGATCCCAAGCCCATCGTTGGGGGTAAGACTTGTCGCAAAAGACACCCAATAGTCGATCATAAGACGACTGATCAACAAGGACGAGGCCGATTGATCCGTGGGCTTCCCAAGAATGTAGTCGATATCAGACCCGTGACTGACTGAGGAGAGCTCTCGTCGTCAGTGTTCATGCTGCAGTGCAAAATGCGTGAGCTTACCACCGAGTCGAGCAGCCTGCTGCGGTTGTGGCTGGGTAAACAGGTAGCCGTAAGTGGGCACACTCGCATTGGCCGCCGTGTTGATCCAAAGCCGCCGTTGAGAGTGGAAGTCCATGTCGCCATCTGTGGGAATATTCAGCAAGATAGAAAGAAATCAAAGCAGCAGGTGAACATACCGATCGCTGCGTAACGTTTGTACTGACTGCTAAGACCGAAGGTATCGTTGCCTGTCCCATATGGCGATTCTGAAGTTTGGGAGTTCGTCAAATTCGGGTGCTGAACAGTCGAAGGATTAAAACAAACCCAGCGAAGGATTGTCAGGGTAGAGTTCGAGAATCCTGAGGATTGAAGTTTGAAGCTCTGCGGGCGAAATCGAAGGCGAGCGGCCAGCGATCATAGTGGCATTGATCTCAGCGGTGGAATTGAGCTGCGCGTTTGCGAACACCGTTCCTACAGTGGGATGAATCAACCTGTTGTATATCGGACCGTTCTCACTTACCCTCGTCCATGTTGGTCCCGGCAATGAACGGAAGCTTAGAGAACTCGCCTTTCGCCAGCATAAGCGAAGGGAGCTCGGGGATTAGACCACCTGGACCGTCGATAACTGGATCCCAGGGGAAGCGATCGTTCGCTTGGGACATCGTCGCGAGGAATCCACTCAGCAGTTCCGCTGAGGTGGCGTTCTGCCGGAGACACGAAAAAGTCGAGTTGCTGCCTGCGAGGGATGCACAAGAAGGAACCGCCCCAACAAAGAGGCTCCAGATATTATCTCGCCGGGCGGCGTCGAACAACCCCGGTGATGCCTGCGAGCCAGATTGTAATATCTGTAATACGCTCAGCACTTTTCGATGCGCCGATCTCTGTACAGACGAGTCACGCACCGCTGCCCGAGCATATTTATCCAATCGGGAGTTCAAGAACTGCATCGAAGTCATCATGCTCCCAGCGCTCTCTCCAAAGACAAGGACCTTGCGCTTGTCACCGCCGAACTTGGCGATGTTCTTCTGAACCCATTCGAGAGCAGCCAGCTGGTCTTTGAGTCCAAGGTTCACAACTCCTATATCCATAGCTTCCTGGCCTTGAGGCCAGCCGAGAGGGCCAAGTCGGTAGTTGAAATTGACATAGATGACGGGGGTGCCCTGGATGACACTGGTGAGAATTGATCCGCGAAAGCAATCCCGACAGTCTTACTCTTTCCACACTCTGAGCAACGATGGCACTGCCGTTATAAACAATGGAGGCACCATTGAAAAAACCGCCGCCGTATCTACAGAGAGATGAGTCGTTTGCCGGAGGCTGGTGGTGTGGTCGGAGGGGTGCTCACGTCCAGAACATCTGCAGCATGATGATCAGTTCAGAGTTAGGGCAGCAAAGTGTTTCGGCGGACATACCACAGGGAGATTCGAGGTCGAATTGACACCCGTAGGACGAATCACGTTCACGGTCAAGCAATCTTCGGAGATTAGGCCGTCAGCCGGCAAGCTCTGGACGCGCAAATTAAGACAGGCTTCGCCAAGGTTGCTCAACACCTACATGCGGGGTTGTGGTACCCGTCGGCTGGAGACACGCCGGCCCGAATTGAGTAGCATTGAACGAGGAGCCGTTCAACGACGTCGTCAGAACAGGAGGCGCGAACCGAAGCTGTCCCACGGGCGGCTCAGCATACGGGATGCCTGAGGGGATCCTCTTCAGTCGCAGTGAAAATCAGGGGGAGCACACTGCGCACCTGCAAAGAGCTCTTGTCCGTAAGTCGGCAGGGTCGTTCCGACCACGGTCGTTTTCCCGAGCTTGACTGACGGGGTGCCGCGGGCACCGAGAGCGAAAAGAAGCAGAGTAGAGAGCGTTGGTGAAATCATTGGAGAAGGGGATAGAGCAGCAGTTCGCTGGCTACCTGTTTTTGCGATCCTTGGTGTGTTGAGATCAGCTTAAATATCTTTTCCGGGGCGTGGGACAAAATGGAGGTCTCCTTGCCACCACGAACCGGGACAAGACGCTGGACAGCACTTGGCCGAAGAATTTCGTACTCTGACATGGCGTGATGGGTTCCGATACGGTGAGGATTCCCGCCAGAGTTCTTCCTGTCATAATTTGCATCCACCCACTCGCTTTCCTTGAGATTGATCCGCTGCCAGAAACCAAGCAAGTCACTGTCAGAATTTCGGATTCAAACCTGGCGCCGTCGTTGGAACTATTCCGCGTTGAGGCAGCAGTCGGGGAACCGACTCCTAGGCCATGTGAGAGACCGATGGTCCTGACTGATACGAGAAGCTATGACCGAGACGGTTACATCAGGCTCGCACGTGAAAGGTGCTACCGACGGTGCAGTGATTAGATAGCGCCAAGGTGATAGCGCCAACTGACAGGCGAAGATCCTGCTTAGAGGTGCGGGGCGCAATGAATAAGCCTCCAGTTCTCTTTCCCACGCGAGCGTCGGCCGCTGTCAGTATCGTCCTTCTTTTTGACACTCTCCCGGGGTATTGGCCTGGCCGAATTCCTATTTCTGCAGATCTCCGGGCAGCATGCGGAATTTGGACCAGATTGGTGGATCTCGCGGAGGGTTTCGTACAATCGAATTGCAAGCGAACGATATCATATGGAACTCATGCTGATCACACCGGGTTGCGTCGTGGCTTTCTGGGACGGAGTCAGTCCGAGTCGACGGAGGCAGTGAGTCGTTTCCACAAGCAAAACACAAATGCCAAAGCACGTGAGGCTGCGAGTTTCAGGAACGGCGGGAGAAATGAATTGCACCACGAGATCGATTGCTCACCCTCTCCTGTGCCCCACAACTGGAGAGTACGAGAGTGTCAACAAGATTGCGATGTCAAGCCAACGATCACGGAACTGCCTGTCCAGAAACACTTCTCTGACGCTGAAGACGCTTGAGAAGCACAGCGGATCGTGCGTCAGATCAGACCGAAGAACGTGTGGGTCACTAAGACGATCTTGAATGATTCTGATGAGGTGCGGATCACTATATTGGACCACGACCAGAAGCGTGGACCTCGGATTCTGAACAGTTCTGCGACCCAGTATCATGGACACCACCACGGTCTGAATGGGGTCAACCCGTGCTTGCTGGACTGGAACCTCGCCAGACATTCATGAACACAGCGCCCACACATTCGAAGGAACCACACCCGCTTCTTCTGTGCGCTTAATTCATTACGCATTCTCTCTTAGCTTGGGACCTTCGGCGTTCTGCTGACTGGCGTCATTGTGTCCGATTTGACATCATGTGAGCAGTTGACTCACGGAGATGACGAAGAAACTTTGTTTGTTTCACAATGCGATCTTGTCTAGCTCAAGTCCAGCTCGTAATTTTTGAGATCGAGATAGATCATCAATTCACCAGGAGTGGCACGGGGCTGGGGGATATGCATGTGTGCCGATTAGCCCCCACGAGCTTCTTCTCACTCTGCTAAACTACTTTGCCGATGGGCCAAAGGGTGCATTTACTGGAAACGGAAGTCAGGGTCGCCAGGGAGTAGTTCGGAGGATTTAACAAGCCCACAGCCACTTTGTCCTCGATCCAATCCCAAGGCTCTGTCGACTGCATGTTTTCTCTCCGTTGTTTATACTGCGATGAATCTAACTATTGTGGTTTGCCGCAAATCTGTCTCGATCTTAGCGCTGTATGAGGTGAACATGTCAACGCTGGATGCCGGTGTTTCTTACGACAGACACATCACATGGCGCAACGGTATGATCACACCGGCAAGGGAAAGTCAAGACAGTCGAAGTGGTTTCAACGGCGTGCATGTGTTTGAGCTTCAAGGTCGTGGGATTGGTGTTGAGCTGCAGCCCGAATACATGACGCGAAAACAGACAGAATGCACAGCAAAGAACGTAAGGCGCATTATTCACAGCCAGAAGTTGCAACCGACGAGAACCTGGTCTAGGAACGGGATTAATCACCCTCAAGATATACAAGAGCGAACGCTGCGCGAGCCTAGGTCGATATATCGAACACAGAAATGGCGCCGAGGCAAAGATGTTATCCTGGCTACGACGGGAGATGATCTTCGCGCAGTTACGAATTGACAACATGGATCTCTCCGCTCGGATGCGGCAACCCGAACAGAGTGTAGGGACGGTCAGGAATAGGTCATATTGATCTGTCGTCAGCAAGTCGTCAAGGGGAAGGTCAGAATGAGCTCCACGTTCGAATCGACGAGGATGCTCCAGACCTGGTACTTGCACGTGCCATCCCCGACGCTGCGATCGTCGCGCTAGCGAAAAGATCGAGCGAGTGGCGCAACATGCTGCCCGTCACCATTGCAAGCGCGAAGGAGACATGTGTCGATACAAAACTCGCCAAGAACGGGGATGTCACGAACCGAGGCTCTGGCCTATGTAGCGCCGGTGCTGCGCATAGAATTCTACGCAGCGAGCAGCTTCCCCATCCATCATCAACTCGGGAACCGAATCAAAGCCAGTATAATATGCCTTTGCGCGTACAGCCGTTCGGAGGAACCTCGACCGGTCCTTGTGGTCCAGTCTGGTGACTCTGGTCCAGTAGAGGTGGCATGAATCAGGCAGGGAGTGGCTGTTCCAGATCAGCAACGCTTTACACCTGGCGCAGGGAAGAGCACTGGATTCTCGGTGATATCCGTCCCTTCGCACCACCGCTGACGTAGTCGCACCGCCGACCCCAACTCCAGGTCTCAGGCGATGGACTGAAGCCTGGAGCTCCTATATCACTGTTTCCGTCTTTAGATGCACTGCATCCTACGCCCAAACACGATAAAGAGTTGAAGCACCGCCCATGATTGCGCGCTTGGATTTTGCCAACTCTGGGGCGGAAGCGAGGAGTAGATTCTTCTTTGTGCGTGCTTGCACGGTAAACGATGACTGCCGGCTCCGGTCACGTGTCTCTCACTCATGTGATCGCGATCAACACGACAACATGATCATGATGATCGCGCGGAGGAATCCGAGGATCCGGGTTGTGCTTCGGTGTCACGTGGGTCAGCCAGATAAACCACGTCCCTGCGTTCGCATCACACATCCTTCACGATGCAGCAGTACGAAGGTAAGGGCATCTCCGAACGGCACGCAGGGCGAAGAGTACTACCACCGAGAATACACGGGCTTCGGGAGATACTCAACTGAGTGCAGATAAAATGCGAACAAGATTCCTAGAACGCTCCATCATACACAAATCGCAGATATCAACGAGCCCGCTTGAGTAGCAACTACTGCAAATCAAATGGAAGAACCCTGATAGGCTTTCACCACAAGAGACAGTTCACCCGTCGACACACGACCACCCTTTCCATCGGAAACGAACGAAAATGGCCGCTGCAGCTGCGCGGACATCACGGAGCTTACGGGCTCCGTGCCGGGAAAGAACTCGAAAGAGCGGAGGAGACTGAATAGGATTGCCTTTTGTCTGTAGTCACATATTAAGCAAACTGTACTCGTAGTGCGGCGGTCCGAAATGACTGGACTTACTCAACCAAGGAAAATCGGATCCCAATGCAACTGTGAACGCCGGCGAGGAATGTTAGCTGATTGCCCCAAACTCCCGGAACAGATTGCACGGCCTCAGGGAGATTAGTCCACCGGTCGGGGCTGTCCAAGGAGGAAATACAAAACCATCAAATCGCGATCTAGAATATAGAAGAAAACACAGACTTGAATTCGAGGGCATCCTCGCCCCAAATCTCTTTGTCGGTATTAATGGCCAGTATCGGGATGGTGAACAGTTGTCCTTTGGCGATGCTTTCCTTCATCAGTCAGACCGTTCCTTGTAGCACAGTGAGGGAAACTCACGGGAGAGTCTCGTGAGATACCCCCCACCGGTCAACATAGGGCTTGTTGAGCGGCAGCACATCGTCCTGTAGTGCCATGCGCTGAACGTAGGCCACCGGTGCGTGCAAGCGCAGTGTCTCCTTCAGCACAGCTTCGAAGAATGGCAGCGCGTTCAGCTCATCCATGGTTGGGGTGTCGGTCTGAACGGACAGGACCTCCTTGCGAAGCTTGTCTTGTACGGCGGGATGGTGCGACAACTCATGGACGGCCCATCCCAGCGCGACACTGCTGGTCTCATGCCCGGCAAGGAGAAACGTCGGGATTTCTGGGGTGTTACCGGTCAGCCTCACTTCGTCTCCGCGGCGATAACATACGGGCTATGACCTCGCTATCGCTCAGTCGTTGGCTCTCCGGGATTTCCGCGGACATGTTTGCCTTGACCAGGATGGAGAGCAGATCCCGCCCCAATCCCAATTCCTTCTCTCCCAATGTCTGCGCATCCGTCTTCGCCTTCTGTAGGAGATTTGTTCCAACCGCACGCATAGTATTGATTGCAAACTGCGTAGTGCGCCAGCCGGGCAGCGGCTGAGAGTTATTCCATGAGCAAGGACTTGCATTCCATTGAACCTCGCTGCAACGCACCAGGAACTTGAGGACCGGAACGGCTGCCTGAGCAAGCTGCACAGCAAGATACAGGTTGGCGTTGGGGACATGGAACAACATGCGGAAGGCCTTGCTCAGATCTCCTTCATTCTTGCCGCCTGATTCGAGTGAGTTGAATTTGTATCCGAAACCTGACCGAAGAGGTGTTTGTAAGATTCAGGAACTAGAGAAGATTAGTACACACCGGTTTGTCCCATAATATCCAATGTTACTTGACGAAACATTTCAGCGAGGTTGATGGTTGCGGCCCCGCCGGCTTTCCGGACATCCGACGCCAAAAAATCTCGCAGCTGTGAACATCAGTAGCTTCCTGGACAGGACAAGCAACAAGAAATTACCACGAGTGCCTGTTCTAAAAACACCTCGTTCATTAACCGAATTTGCTGGACGCTGAAAGCGGGGTGCTGGGGAAAGCGCTCAGACAAAATCGACTATAGATCCGCAGACATACAAGAATCTTGCGCTGTAGGGATTAAGGTTTCAGCGACAGAGATTGTGTTCAACTGCTGTAGCTTACCTGACGTCTATGCGGATTCAGATCGACCGATAAGATTCCATCACCGAGGACACGACTCAGACTTGAAATAAACTCGGGCGTTCTCGAGTATAGCAAGCCGTGGCTGAGAATATGTGCGACAGCTTTGACGTCGGTTGTGTGTAGATCGTTTACCTGCGCGCGTGTGTTAGAAACCGTCTTGTACACAATGACTTGCAGATGCGCATACCCCAAACATGCCCTTGGCCATCAAGGTCGGACCGTAACGTTTCCGCCACTGGTTCCCCGTCTCTGGCACGTCCTCGAGATTGATTGAGTCAGGATATGGAAGAGAAATAAGCACATCCTCACAGAGAAAACGATCGAGTGGCCGAAGATCAAATTCGACGACGGCGGACCGTCGATGAATTTCAATGACGATGTCCAGGTGAGGTAGAGGGTCCGAGCGAAGTGAAAAACGACATAAGAGAGGATAGTGCAGATGATTGGGACGAGAACGGTGTGAATCATCTTGCGCTGTCGCTCAAGAGATAGTAACTTGTTGATAGGGACACCACACAACTATAGCTTATATAGTTTTTGGAGCTTGCAGCTGCAACAGACGGTGAGAACTTCAGCGGCCCGCCGAGTAAAAAAGATGACTGACCGAACTTCTCATTCACTATGCTTTTCAACAGGTACGGGATCCGGGTGTCATAAAAAATGACCGTTTCAGGCCGTTTAACCACGCAAAAATCACTGTGGCTTTCTTGTGCATGCCAACTGACGATAAGATGAGTTCGAAACGTGTGAATTCGATTACCATGGATGCCAGCGGGGGGATTGCTCGCCAAATGGTTCAATGCGCACTTACTTGTTGTTCCTAAAGGAGCGGAGTCTGTACCAGGAAAGTGGGACTGATCGCGGGGGTGATCCAAGATCTGTCAAACCGATCATGATTGCTGTGATAAGAGAGCAAGAACCGTCAGAACGCAACCACTTCGTCTAAGCTTTGTTGTTGGGCTGACCCTTGCAGAACCCCCAAGCTTTGCCGCGTAGGATTATTGGAGCGTAAGGGATGCGGCATTTGGTGCCAGCACGGGTGACTACGCTGATGGTAGCGTCACGTCACGTCGCTGTCACAGGTTCAAATCCCGGGGTTGGAAATCCAAAATAAAAATGAGGAGTAACAAAACTGTAGCACTAGGACCGTTATCCCAGTCCTATTTCTCAGTTTTCGATTACGCGTGATTGATTCAGACAGTACTATTTGAGAGCAATTCCAGTCCTACAGGACCAATCCTTGATTGGGAAGACCCGGGCTGATGCCGTACCAATGCAGTGCTGCAGCACCTCAGGGCTGTGCAAGACGCGTCCCTGTCCAGCCACTTCCTCGCCGTTTCGTGCACGCACAACACATTTTAGGGCAATTGAAAATAAATGGTACTAGTACATAATGAAGGAGGGAACAATCAATACACATTGAACATGCACCCCACACATGTACATGTATCTAAAGCCCTAACCTATGCGCCCCAGCAACCTCCAATTATGACGTAAAATGGCTTCCAGGCCCCCTTCCGGAGGCCATCAAACCACCCCCTACCCCCCTGATCAGAGGCCATCCTGGAGGTGCTTTCCTAATTGGGATGCTGCCTGGCCATTTGTCTACTACCTGCATGGTAGGCTGGACATTGGCCTGGATGATATTATAGGCTGTGGCAGTTAATTCTATACCCTAGACCATGTATTAGCTCATAAAACTGTGTAATTTGTGCTCTCAAAATGGTTGACTACTGGGCGCTCAGAATTTGGGATTTGAGCATGCTAGCACTCCTCAAGTGCATGGGAAGAAGGTATATATATATTGATGTGGGATCAAGCATGAGAAACTGGTGCCTACATTGTCATGATTCAATCATTTTTCACAATCATTCCATCAATCACCTTATCTTATCATTGACATGGGACTATCTTATCATGGATCATGGCACCACACGGTCCGGGTTTAGGGTTCAAGGGGGTTATCCGTACAAGGTTGCACAGCGTATGCTCTAGAAGTCTATACTACAACCCATGACCAAGGCTCCACACGGTACATAGTCAGATGACTTGTTTCATGTATATAAGACTCAGACTGGACTTAGTATAAAGACAGTAGCCATTGTGTTGTATTCTCCAGTCTTGGAATTGACTTGTCTTTTCGATTGTATTTTCTGTTGATTGTCACATACATGGAAAAATGGGACAGTACTACAAAAATGGGCTACTGCCTCCACAACCTCCCAGAGCAGAAAAAAAGGGCCAGGACGGCCTATCCACTGAGAAGTTGCTTGTAAGGGCAACTCCTGCCAGCCTGAAGGAAGAGAGCACACAGCACACAACAACCTCACATGAGTCTGAGCACAGAGGGGGATCCTTAGAGACTATCAAATACAAGGGAGGTATACTACTCACCTGAGCACAGAGGGGGATCCTTAGAGAACGGTTCAAGGATCCATGTGCCCAGGTGTCACACTATATAGTCAGCTGTGACAAGTGACTGATGATGATGGGATATCACTGCCATGGAACAATGGCAGATGATGAGTAGATGATGACAAACCCAGATAAGATAGTGAGTGGCTCAGAGGGGCCAGTGACAGCCAGCTCCTGAGACACCAACAGTGGAAGGCCACACTGGAGGAGCCCACTGGCCAGGCCAGTGCCGGGCCAGCCAGTGGAGACATTGGAGGCAAGGACCAATGCCCGACTGGGAAGAGGGGTGGTGTGGATGAGCGCAAAGGCATCTGGACGAGCCTGTATGGCAGTAGACCACATCCGCGGGAAGAAGGCCGAAGTAGAGGGGGAGGAGTGCGTACGGCAGTAGCACTCCCTGGTGCAAGGAATTGGGCTTGGCTAGACCGCTTGTGGGGATTTGAGAGAGATGGCCAGGGGAAGGAGGAAGAGGGCGGATGTCGGCATGGATGGAGATGAGGATTGGAGGAGGAGGAGGAGGCTGGGTGATCAACAGGTGAGCAGGCACGGGTTGGCAGAGAGGGCGCAGTGGGTCACATGCATGGTCACGTGCCCGAGGAGCGCGGCGTCCCCTGACATTTGAGCCGAATGGGCTGTACTCGGCTGTGAGCAAATCGGCAAACAGGTTCTGCGACCGAATCACTTCTGGGGTGGCCAAAGCCAAGGCAGTGAAGGGTTCATCTTGAGCAAACAGCACCAGGCCACGGGTAACATTGAGCCCGACCCAAGCCTTACGGTAGCTACAAGGAGTCCTGCGGAGACCTTCAGGAAACACACCTCAGGATCATTGGGCACGTGAAGAGCTAGGCCCAGGATCTTTTTGCTAGCAAAAGAACCCTCCCTCAAGTGCTTGTACAGCACACAAATCCACCATTTTGTTCCAATTCCCATTGTTGTCTGGGAGTCCGTCTCCTCCCCCCATCCTACCATCGTTGCCTGATCTGGCGTATCAAAACCAACCGGGGCCCTTCAACCCCTACCTTGCCCTCCCACCGCCTGAAGACGAGATCCCTGACCTCGATGAGTTGCTCTCCAAAAAACCACCCTCACCCCCACCTACCATGTCAGGACACCAGTGCATCACCCTCGCCGCCAACCCCCCTACTTTGATGGGGACAAGTCCAAATATATGGGCTTTGTGGACTTGTGCACCACCTACATCGGTGCCTATTGGTCGGAATTCTTGCAGGATGAGATAAAAATCCTCTTCATCCTCTCATACCTCCGCAATGAGGCAGGCACAAGCTGCGCCGCCTCAAGATGGACAATGAACTGGAAACAGCGCAACTTCGAAAGCCTCAATGGACTGAAGGCTGGGGTCACCTCGATGTCCTTCTTGGAGGAGCTTCAGAGGGCCTTTGGAGACTCCAACGCGGAACAAGTTGCCGCTGCTCGACTCATGGCTCTGCGCCAGAATAGGTGATCCTTTGCGGATTATATCTCCGACTTTGAGATGCTGGCTGCGGACGCAGGCTACAATGTGGTCACCTCCACCGATTCGAAGGGCGAGTACAAGAAGGGGGATCAGGACAACATCCTCATCGAATTCCTCAAGCGTGGGTTGAGCAGCGAGATTGCAAGTCGCCTCTACAACACTGGTGTCCCCTTACCCAAGGCGTATGGTGCCTTCAAGGACTGGTGTGTCAACATCGAGGCAAACGCTCTGTGCAATCAGCTGCGCAAAGCATCGCACGGGCACTCCATGCCACGACCACCTCCCCAATTCCGTCCTCAAGCCACTCCAGCAGCACCCGCACCTGCTCCGATCTGACCCGCTGCCAACAAACCGGTTCCAATGGAAATTGATCTCACCCATACCCGGGGCCGCAATATCATTTGCTGCAACTGTCAGCAGCCTAGGCACATTGCGCGGAACTGTCCGGAACCGAGGAAGAAGCGCACATTCTTCAATTGGGCCACGATGCTGGAAGAGATCAAGAACGGGGACAAGGACAATGAGTTCCTCAAGGAGATTGCTGAGAAGCTGCGCGAGAAGGGTTTTTGAAGCGCTCCACTCCTCTAGCCAAGGAGGTGGAGCGTCTGGACTATGGACGATTTTCTGTACTTGTTTTGATTAAAGACATGAACGATTCTGCACACACATACACGATCTCGGACTCACTACGTACCAATATTCACGATTTTCTCATTGCTGATATGGAAAAAGAACGCCAAAGAAAAATAGCTTTAAATAGAGAGTATTTACAGAGTAAAAAGGATCAGAAGGTTGCAGATAAATTAATTTTGGACTCCTACGTATTTATGGCTCGTGGAGAAGGAACCATGTCAACAAAGACCGAAAAGGGGAGCATTGCTCCGGAGGCTCAATCCTTGGAAAAGGAGGAAGCGCCTGAGGAATCTGCCGAAATCAAGGTTCCAGAAGCACCCAAGCGCACCAGGGTACCAGATGCTGTCCAGAGGAAATTGGTAGCCGAGAAACAGAAGGGCCCTCAGCCCAGCAGGTTGGCACAGGAATTATGCAGCTACCAGGCCAAAAGAAAGAGGCATTCGATGGACGTATATGTCCAGATCACGGGCCTGGACTCAGGAAAGACGCGCGGTGTCAAGGCACTACTCGACAGTGGCTGCAGTACCTGCTGCATCGATACCGACTACGCGCAGGCGGAGAAGCTGGATATCCAAGAGCTTCCACAACCCATCGTGGCTCGAAACGCTGACAACACCGAGAACATCAGTGGCCGGATCACGCATTACGTTGACTTAAGGATGAGAATCGGCCCTCATGTAGAGACATGCACGTTCCTTCTAATGTGCTTAGGGAAGGCCCGGATCTTCATCGGTCTTGACTGGCTGACGGAACACAACCCCGAGGTGGATTGGCAGGAGCAGACCATGAGATTCAGTCGATGCCCAGAGCGTTGTCACATGAGGGGTCACGAGGAGCACCAAGCAATGATTGACATGGACGCAATTAACCTGGACGCGGATGCACCGGATCTGTCAGGGGAACCCCCACTTCGGACTGCTCTGCCTTCAATCAGGCATGTGATCGCGCTCGCGTGACCTGTCAGCTGTCACGTGCCGCGGCCCGGACTGCCACGCCAAGCGCTTCTCTCTGATGGGCACATGGTCAGGTGTCCCATCGTTCCCACTGTCTCGGTTTCCTATTGTTCTCCAATGGCCATTGTACTTATTGTTCCCATTGTTCTTTGTTTGTCGCTGCGCGTTCTATTGTTCTTGTATCATATAAATAGTGGCGCCTGGCAAGGAGAATCCCCAACACGGTTTCTCTTTGGATTCTCCCTTGCCAGGTATGCCGGTCCTGTACCTAGCTACCACTATTGACACTTTGGATTCTCCCTTGCCAGAACTCTGAGGTGTTGAAGCTTGTTTGTATTAGTGACTATCACAGTATGTAGACATGACATCATAAGTAGTATTCTTAGATTACTTTGGCTCGCTCCACAATGACCTCATACCTGACCTCATTATTGCGTCATCCATTACTCATCTATGATATCATTACTCCACTATGACATCATGATATCTGCTCCAGACTGGTATATAAACCTAGTACTATACGCTCCATATCCTCAGCTCCTGTGTCTCTACACTCGCTGAGGTATGCATTCTCCCTTACGATCTAATGACCTTACTTATGACTTGTACCATAGACTCTGTCTTATAGGTACAGCTAATGATATAGCTCCTGTGTCTCTACACTCGCTGAGACTCTGTCTTATAGGTGATCGCTACTGGTCGTATCTCCACTGCGCGATATTGTCTGCGACAGGTTATGGGCCCCGCCTGAACCACTAGCGGCAAATCAAGAAACATCGAACTACTCCCTTTACTAAGGCGAGTATCTTTCACTCGTTCAGCCCTTCTAGAGCGCCGTCTTTGTGCGCTCGTCCCACTTGCTGGATGTCGGTCCTCGCATTTGTGCTCTCACCCTCAAGTGGTTACGCGAGCGGCGTCAGGGAGTCATTCAGTTGGCAGACGCGCCGTTAGCTATTCCGTCCATGATTGCTCGCGTGCGTTTTACGTTACATCTTTTTATTGTACAGCGGACATACCCACCAGGCACTGGTCCTTTGGTCAATCCCACTCCTGAACCTTGCGCGAAGCGCCTAGGTGGTGTGGTAGCTCTCAACAGCTGCTGGAGGTCAATCCCTCCGCCAGGCAAAACAATCCTTCGGGGTTGACTCGCATTCCTCACAAGGGACCCTGCGGGCTGGTGACACTACGAGGATTCATGCAATGACGCTCTGCGTGTATGCATGTCTTTAAAAGGGAGAAGATGGGCAGCCAAACCCGGTGCTTGGGACGGCCTTGGGCACGTGTCCCTTGGCCAGTGACGGACTGCGAGGGCAGTAATCACCGTTGGGTACTGCCGCCGCTGACGTATATAGTTACGTTACTTTGATACAAATATGGGCACTTACTATACCGCTTTATTTCGTTATCATTCCCCGCGCGTATATGGGCATCATGGATGGGATGGGGACGCTTGGTCGTTCTCGTTTCAGAGATTTGGCACTCGGGATTTTGTTTCTTGGTCTGCAGAGAATCTGGGGCTGACTTTGTCGCTCTAGTCTTCATCTCTATCACCCTGTCATCACCGAACGATCCTCCTGTTGGGGGTATCCTATACCCTGTTAACTCTTGGACAACTTTCGGACACTCCTATCTTCCCATTGAATCCATCACCGGTGACATCTATCGGGTTGGTGATATCGACAATCAGAACAGCGATCAGGCGCAAGGAAATTTCACCGTCGCGCTTTGTCTTCTGTTTGGAGATCCTCCATACGTCGAACCTACTCTTCTCCACCACCACATCGCCGACGTCATCGAATTTCTTCCCACAATGTCCAGGATAGAAAAGCTCAACAATTCCATCCTGAGCGTCTTTGATGGCACAAACTGGAACACTTGGTCGGACAACTATATGAGCATATGCATGCACCAGGGCACTTGGGGGGTTGTGAAACCCTCTTATATCACGGTTAACGGTACACCAGCTGCAAACATCGGTGCAGTCAAACGTCCTTCAACTGCTGGGGACTCCCAAAATCAATGGGACGTTGCCAATGAAAAGGCACTGGGTCTTGCGCGGGTTTATATTACCCAGAATCTGCGCAAGGGAATCTTTATGGACGGTCAGCGGGAGCGCACTGCGCGCGAAGTTTGGGCGAAAATGGCGACGGATTATGGCCAGCCAAATGCCATCGATGCTTTCGTCGAGTACCGCCTCCTGAACACCACCACCTTCCATGGTGATGACACCATTGAGAAGCAAATCATGGAAATGGAGACTCGTCGTCGCCAGTGTTTGGAAGGAGGAATCGAGATCCCCGACTACCTCTTCGCGACTCTCATGCTCGCCGCCTTACCCGCTTCCAGCAGAGGTTTCGTCACCTCTTATCTGGCCAATCGTCCTATCGCTTCCTTGAACCCGGTCGATGTCAAGAACAGCATCATTGGGAATATCAAGATCGAGAACCTCGACACGACGTCGAACTCGAAGATTTCCACCGTTCCGTCCCTTGCCACCCGCTGCACTCATTGCAACAAGTCCGGTCACGTTGCAGCATCCTGCTACAAGAAGTATCCCAACCTCAAGCCGACTGGTCAATCTTCTGACAAAGGCAAGGGGAAGCAGGATGAGGGGAAGAAGAAAAAGAAGAAGGAGAAGAAGAATAGTGGTGATGGTACCAGCACTGTAAACAACAAGGAAGTTGTAGCCGCTCCCGCGGTTGCAGCTTCTTCTTCTAATGGAATGCACTTCTCGTCCTATTTCATGAGTGACTCCCTCCAACACAACGATGATGGAATTTTTGTTGAAGAAATGGGAGACGACTCCAAAGTTCGTTTTCTATGGGATTCGGGTTGTACGCATCATATGACAAACACCCGATCCGATCTTCACAACATCAGACCTATCGACACCTATGTAGTCGTTGGGTCGGGAGCTCGCTTCAAGAATGAAGCCATTGGAGATATTGTGTTGCGGGGTCATACTAGTAGTGGCATGGACTACACCTTAACGCTGAAGGATGTCATCTACAACCCGCACATAAGAGGGCGCTATTTTTCTGGGTATGTGCTCGATCAGGCTGGTTACTACACCGTGGTTGGTGACAACAAGGCAATCCTAGTCACCAAGGATTGGCTCAACAAGGGAAAAGCGCATGGGGATGTCTTGATGACCTTTAAAGCAAGCAATCGCTGCTACTGGTACTACCCCAAGGAGCTCGTGGCACCATCCGTGTCTGCATCTCACGAGTCTACCGCGCTCGCTTCCCTAGAAACTACCAATCGTGAATTGTGGCATAAGCGTTTTGGTCATGCGGCTCGGAGGACCCTCACTCACTTGCCGACACAAGTTGAAGGTGTTCCACCCTTGCGACGCAATAAAGACCAGCGCGGCATGTGCGATGGATGTATGCTTGGAAAAAAGCACAAGCATCCGTACCCTGCATCAGAGAAACGTGCTAGCAAACCCCTCGAGCTTATCCACACTGATTTGATAGGCCCCTGGCCTACTCAGTCGTTGGAAGGTTCACGCTACACAATTTCGTTCTACGACAATTTCTCGAGCTTCGGCATGATGGTGTTCATTAAATCAAAGGACCAAGCCTCTACCGCGATTAAAAACTTTGTTGCCCTTGTAGAGCGTCAGCTTGGCACAAAAGTACTGGCCTTCCGGTCAGATCGTGGAGGTGAATATATGTCCGATGAACTCACAGCCTGGCTCAATGCACGTGGTATTATGCACCCTAAGTCCGCGCCACGCGAACCACAGCAAAATGGGAGGTCTGAACGTTGGAATCGCACAGCCTACGAGAAAGCGGAATGCATGCGCCTCGATGCCGGCCTATCCAAAGGCTTCTGGCAATGTGCTATGGATGCATCTGTCCACGTTCATAATAGACAACCTATGGCACGATTGGGATGGCGAACACCTGCGGAACTGTGGCTTGGAAAGAAGCCAGACGTCTCTTATTTCCATGTGTTTGGATGCAAGGTGTCTCTCTATGTGGATGTTGAAAAATGCCCGAAAGGGTTGGAGCATGGACGCCCCGACCACATCTTCGTTGGATACGAACAAGAGACAAAAGCTTGGAAAGTGTGGGATCCAAATCAACGCAAGATACGAATCTCTTCAAACGTCGAGTTCGATGAGCGAGTATTCCCTGCCAAGTCCAAGCTAGTCACCGGCAATGTGTCCTCTGGACCAGAGCCGTTCACACCATTCGAGGAAACCTTCCCTGACCTTATCAATAATCCTGCGCCTGCAACGCCTTATGCAAGCATACCCCCTCCTGCTCTCCCACCGCCACCGGCACCCCTCGCGCAACAAGGTCCTGTCACGGGATCGCGAGAAGTACCCCTAATGCCTGGCCCGATAGACGATCGCCCGATTGCCCATCGCCGCCCTCGTCGAAACAAGCCCCGCATTTTGCCGGATGGAACTACGTATCAGAGGCCTAGCAGCATTGAGTCCATGTTATCAGCTGCCCAAGCTGAGCATGACTTGCCTCAAAACGTGCGGGATGTAGCAAAGAGCCCGGATGCACTCAAGTGGGAGCGCGCAATGCGCGAAGAACTGGACTCTCTCGAGGAAAACTGTACTTGGGATTTGACCAACCTCCCACGCGGTCGAAAGACTGTCAAATGCAGATGGGTGTTTAGCAGGAAGCGTGACGGTCGTTTCAAAGCACGACTTGTTGCCAAGGGATTCACTCAGGTTCATGGGTTTGACTATGATGAGACCTTCTCGCCAGTATTGCGCTACGAATCTTTGCGCATACTTATGGCTCTGGCTGCTCTCGAAGATTGGGAGATTCATGCCATGGATGTCAAAACGGCATTCCTAAACGGGGATCTGGAGGAAGAAATCTATATGGAACTTCCGGAATTACCCAAAGGTTTCTCGTCATGGCCAAAAGAAAAGGTGGCACGCCTTCGTAAATCACTCTATGGGTTGAAACAGGCGTCTCGTCAGTGGAATATCAAAATCCACAATGCCCTCCTCGAACTTGGTTTTGCTCGGACAT